ACTGAGGTCATTCCAAAAGCCCTTGTTTAAACTCACACAACACAATGCCACACACACAAGTTTGGCTCCGACTTCCTGTTTTTGTGAACCAGGAAATAGACAGGGGCTGCTACTTCTTTTGTAGCTGCCTTTTTTTATTTATTTTTATTTATTGACAAAACAATGCCGTCAGCTGCCACCCACTTACATTAACCGCTAGAGAGTGATAGCTTCAGTCTTTGCAGCAACAAATCAAATTATGTCACTGGAGTGCTCCGCGACTGCTGATGGGGCAGATGACCTTTCTCTGGCTTTTTGTGATGAGATGTATTTGCGCATCAGCAAGAAAAGTTATTCAAAAGACTGTAGTTTTATAGTAAGCGAAAAGGTAGAAGGAGAGGAATGGGGGGTGTCAAATTTGGCTTTGAAGGGCTGATAAAGGTTATAATAGTCATTCTAGCTAGCCTTAGTTAAGCCTCGAGGCGGTGTGTGGGTGGGGGTAGGGCTTGTGATGAGGGGGTAGGTGGTAGGCAGGGGGCTTCCTCAGACTGCCCTCCCTTCTTTCTTTGTTCGCACACCCCTGCTTTTGTCTGATCCAACACTACTCACACACTATTCGTAACAACAAAAAAATGGTTCAGATCAAGCGACTTCAATCCTACTCGGCAAGATCCAGGACCAGACGAGGCACATCATGAACTATATAGGTGTGTATCTTGCAGTCTGGGGTGTTTTTTTTTTCTTTTCCCGCCACTACACCACTCCAGGGCGCGGGGGAGGGGCAGACCAGAGCCTCGCGCCAAAAAAGCCGGCGTTATTCAAATGAGCTGGAGAGAGGGTGCGGCCCAACTGTCTGCATGTCCTGTTAACCCCCTCTGAGCTGCAGTCTGGAGGCACAAAGACACTCGAGTGGGGAAGGTTGGAATTGTTTCACGCATGTTCTGAATCCTCACGTGCCGAACAACGCCAGGCGGTGTGTGTGCACGAGGGCTGTAAGGAATGTAGCGATCATTCCCCTTTAATTTGCTGCAGCCACAACTAAGTAATATAATGTGAGAAAAAATACATGTTTTGTTTTAATCTTCAATCTACAGCTTTAGACACATTAAAAGTTAGATTTTGCTTTTACTAAAGACATTTTTGCTTGTCCCATCGGCAACTATTGTTTTGTCCCTTTAAGCACAAGGTTTTTGTTTCTTTTTTTACCCCTAGAAATGTTCTGTGAAGTGAGTAGTCTTCATCATTGTAGCGCATTTCACAGACCGAGGTCAAACAAAGCGTTTTATAATTGTTACTTTTATTTTCTGATCACTCCACACACAGTGATGACAGAAGCGAGCCACCAAACATGTGCCGCATCAAAGCCTGTGCATTTTTTCAGTGGTGGCGGAAACCGGAGCACCTGGAGGAAACCTAGGCAGAGACAATACGAACAGCTTTTTACAAATTTCCTGTGACATTTTGCAGTAATTACAACACAGTCATAAAACAGCCCATGTTTGCTCCAGTTTAAATATATTTGAAGAATTACGACAATCCGACAATGTATAGAATTAGCAACTGACATTCAGACATACATGTATTTGTCAATCACTTTTTCTGTGGATGTATCAGAATAATTGTACCTGACTTTTTTTGTTTTGTATAACTTATTTCAATGTATTTCTATTCAATGCAAAACAACCATTTCCTTTGTCACTTCAAACATAACAATTAGATCATATTAAATGCCTTACAAAAAACAATTACTATTATTTATGTGTGTTTTTTTAGTGCATTTTTCCAAACAGCCTTGTATGAGAACGTTTACACACTATTAATAAAAAGTGTATGTGCTTTTGCCCTTGTTGAACACAATAGGTGTCGGCTTCCTCTTTCAAACAGTGGCTTTCTCACATCCTCTTTGTCCTGGAGCCAGAGGGAACAGAGGAACTCCAGGTATTCTCAGCACAATGGAAGAGCAACACGTCGAGCTGCATTCTACTGCCCTCTAGTGGATCAACGTGGCAATTGCAAAACACTTGTATTGTGTATTGTGAAAAGGCATTCGGAATAATCACTTTGAGTTGTTGGAATTATGTACTGGTTCACATTTTTTCTGAATATATTTACTTTACAAAGTTGGTATGAGAATATTCACTTTGAGTTTTAATTGTGATTATGGAAAATACAAACAATTCAAAAACACAACTTATGCTCTGTACCGTTCTACAAATGTTCTGAAGTACTGACAGTGTGTGGTTGGTCTTTTTAGTTTTAAGTGTCTTGCACCGCTGTTCCAATGTAGTGATTAACTGCAAATGTTTAAACTAAACTAAGCTCATTATCTGCGTAGGTTTTCTCCAGGTGCTCCGGTTTCCTCTACATCTAAAAACACGTACAGTAGGTTCTGTATGGCGTCCCCGCTCCGAGCTAAATCTTTAGAGGTGATCATATTGGTGATGAGTTTCCCTGTTTAAGAGCTTGAATAATAAAGTTGTTGCTACAGAGACAGATATCTCCCTCCTTATAAAGTCAAATATCTATTGATGCAAAAAAAAAACTAAAAATGTGAAAACTTGGTGCATTTTTGAAAAGGGTCCTTCCTTTAGTTGAAATGATGTATTTAGCTGTTTTGTTTTTTTGTATCTTGAGCTCCATATCATAAATCAGTCATGAGCAATACATAAAGAAAGAAAGGCGTGTTATAGCCTGGTCTTACCATACCATTGTACTAGTTTTATTTCACAGGGAAATTATAATTTGCCAGAGTTTATAGGCTCAAAGTGAGAGGACGAATGCTCACAATTGTAAACCGCTTTGGGCGCAGTGTACATAAATATCACTCACTTAGTTACTTTTTACACAATATTCTGCAAGTCAATGTGAAAAGGTTATACATATTGACTTGCAGGTCTATGCATGTAACCCCATGTACATGAATAGACTTTTCTTTAATCTAGTCTTTATTAAACCAGGAACACAATTATTACATACACAAAAGTGTATAATAAGTGATTGTATTTAATTAAACATTAAAGGTGATGTATTTAATTTAGAAGAGAATACATGCTTTCGACTATATGACAACCTAGTATTATCTATACGTTTTTCACATAAGAAATATATTAAAACAGTCTTTCCCCTTGGAAGAACGATACAATTTTCTGAAGGAGAAAAGTTAGACCAATGGAGAGTTGCCTATCAAGGATTTGAATTAATTGTGTCCAATCAGGAAGTTGTGGGGGTGGCGCTTGCATTAACAAATGTCCCTTCCTTTTCACAAATTGGAAATTAACTGACCTTCTCCTCAATTTCTCATAATATCAGAGTTCAAAGGTATATAGGAGGCTTTTCTACTTCCGGGTGGATCATCAAAACTATTGGGCTGTGTGCTTGTCAAATAAGACCAGAGAGTGTTGTTAAAAAAGTGGAGAGGGCAGTTCTTTCCTAAAATTTGGGAAAATCCATGTCCCGTGAGATGGGAACTAGTTTGATCCTGGCGCCAAATAAGTTCTATCATTTTATTTCATTATTAAAAATTAAAATTATTATTGTGACTATCTCATTCAAACGCCAACTTAGAAATTCCTTTCTCTCTCTTTCAGTCTATGGTCTACCCCCCACCCTCACCCACACTCCCCTCTGACACGCCACATTGGACGAGGCTGGTCAGAGTAATGTCCCATCAAAAAGATCTGCATCTTTTCCGCATTTACTGTGTCTCTCAAAACAATGTCTGTCTGAAATAAATGTTTGTTTTGCTTTCTGCTGTTGAATAACTGTCATAAGGATCACTATGTATTACGCAGCCAGCCTTGATGTTTATTCATCAAACTGAATTTCTCCATTGTGAGATAATAAAGTAGTGCAGCCGCCTCTGCATTCAAAAACACATTGATTTAATTAAACATGTATTGATCTATGCAAAACCTAAATTGTCTTGTAATTTCCCCCTGCATAATGTTAAACCTCCAGACTTCAACAGTGAGATGGGACCAGTGCAGATGTATCCTTGAGCGGCTGACCCTCTTAAATCAATAACCGCTCTCAGTGTCAGGAGCCTGGAGAGGAGGGAGTGAGTGGTCTTTGGCGCAAACATTATGCCCATTGATTGTGAGTGCTTCCTTCCTGCCTTTTCAAACTCTGATTTCTCAATGTCGTTTAATGTGTGTCTCAATCACTTGATGGGTTTGATGGGATATAAGATTTTATTTGCCCTGCATTGCTTTTGAATCCTGTGTGAAATCTCTCTGTGTACTGGCAGACACAAAACACCAGCTGTCATTATGTACTTTAAAGTAATTAACTACTTTTCAAAGCGCGACACAGACTTTCATCTCTGCTTCACCTGGTCCTGTTTGATCCATGCCACATTGCTTTTCTTTACACCCTCCCCTCGGCCAATCAGATTCCAGCTGCAGTTTCCCTCCGTTGCCGGGTAACTAGGGGTCTCTGGCTTGTAATTCTACCCGCGGAAAGGATCCTGCGGCGTTGTACTAACACACACACGTGCGCCGTGGGAAAATAAACCATCAAAATGGCGGCAGATGACCCACGATGGACCAAATTATCTACATCACTTAAATGGGACAGGATTTGGCAAAAAGGACAGGACTCACGGGATGATATCTTAAAGAAACGCAACAGCTTCTGAGGAGAAAGTAATATTTTGAGCACGGTGACGCATTATGGCACACACTAGTTGTCAGACAGATTGCATAACTTCCACGCTCCAGGGAATTGCAAGGGTTAAGAAAGGGGGAGGATGTAGAATGGCTTAAAGTGTGACATAAGCACACATACTGTAGTAACACAAGAAGTGGAGAGGATAAAGAGCGGGGATTAAACCTGTTCCCACACACACACTGTCTCCCACCTGTGTGTTTACGCAGTGGCGCGTTTTTCAGGTCATCTCGAGAGTGCATCACCGGGATGAAATATTGAACGCAGCGTCATAGAACCAGGAGGATAGAGCCATCACCGGACGCACACTGGCGCTCGGTGTGGTCCTCGAGAGTGTGAGGCAGAACTGGGGAAAGATGAGCGGCGGACAGACTCTCTCTGCTGCCGGAGGAAACACAGCCACAAATGGAAGCAAGAGGACGCTGGGAGATGCCGCCAAGCCTTCCACGCCAACCAAAAAACCACAACCAGTGAGTAAATGTGTGGACGAGGCTTTTCTTAGAGATGTCGTGTCATGGATAGCAGCATCTCATTACAGGAGCTAGTGGTGAACCTGCACAGGAGTTGTAGCCAAACTACTTAAACTCTATGTATTTAATCAGGGGAATCACACTTTAGAATTGATTTTTGTAGGGTGTCCTGGCATTTAAGGTTTTAAAGGTGGGATGCTTAACTAAACTAAAAGATGTAAAGTCTTAACAGTCTTGTCAAAGTATAAAATGTTGTAAACTGTCTTAATTTTATGATATATATATATATATTTTTTTTTTGCATATTTAATAATAAGGCATCAGTTATATATGCGCTTTTTTGGACACTCAAAGATGCTACACATGTCATTATTCACTCACTCAACCCACAGTGGTGATAAACTGCTATTGTAGCTACAGCTGCCCCGGGGCACACTGACAGAAGCGAGGCAACCAGTAGGTGCCATCGGCCCCTCCGACCACCACCAACCATTCACACACTCTCTAGACTCATTCTAGGCCATGTGGGTGAAGTGTCTTGCCTAAGGACACAACAGCAGTTTTGCACTTTACAGCCGCAGCCGCCCCACTGTGGCATCAGGTGTCCCAGAGGTTAAGTGTCTTGCTAAGGACACAACGACAGCAGTCATCAGTGGGAGTTGGTGAAGAAAGTCTTTTGGTGGGCTAGAACCCACGACCTTCAGGTTCAAGGCCAATGCTTTACCAACTGAGCCACTGTCGCCCCAGTATTGTGAGTCACTTTTTGATGGGCTGAGAGATGATCAAGTGTGGTTCTCTATTTTTTGCTTTTCTGTTCTGAAACAGCTGATCTAAAATGTAAGAGAGGCCAAAAAAAGACATGTGTATAAACCGGGGATAATACCAAACCGTTTCATTGTTTGTGATTTGAGAGTTACACACCCCAGCTTTATCACAATGATTTCATAAAATTTCTTAAAAAACGGACCACTATTCTGGCAACAATGCACAACAGACAAAAACAAACTAAACCCTGAACAGCAGAAATACAGAAATTCATATTTGATAACTTTTGCTTCACTTTCAAAGAAAGCATGAAGGAATAAACCTTTCTTGTCTTATAATGACTGGTCAGAGGGGCCGATGGCACATACTGGTTGCCTCGCTTCTGTCAGTGAGCCCCAGGGCAGCTGTGGCTACAGTAGTCGTCTATCACTCTCTGCCCTGACAAAGACCGCTTTGATCGAAACGCGTAGGCAAGCCATTTTAATAAAGGCCTTTCACATTTTTACACTTCAACAGAGCGCCTCAGACTTTCCTTTTTTGTCATCCTACATCTGCTCCGATTGCCCCGTCTTTGAAGAACATCTGTTTGTTAAGCCTTCTACCCTCTGCAGCACTCACCTTTCTTGCTTTAATTTAAGTGGGCTATTACCATTGTGTTTGGAGGGAAAGAATATTGACCTATGAATGTCTTTGAGTCTCCGAAAAAGAGCTGAATAAAACCAATGCATTATTATTATTATAACAATGACTCCAGATACAGTATAATCCAGTAAAGTATGAACTAGTTCTTGTCTCATTTTCAAATGTATTTTTTGGCCTTTGTCACATTAGATTTTTTTTTTGTCACATAAGATTTGGTCCGTCAGAAAAGCTAAAAATAAAACTAATTCTCTGCCAATTAGTTCCCAACAAAAGCACGTTCTGAATGAAGATGACATGTTGGGGTCAGATTTGTTCTTTCTATTGGAAAACAAGAATTATTTATCAAAATTAAAAGTTAGGTCAGTTACTGAGCTGGAGGAGTTTACATTTCAATGGTAATCAAAAGGAGCCAGAGAGAGTTAGAGCAAAACTTCATCCACAAGCACTTCCCCATAAGGCTTCATTGAGCTATAGGAGGTTAGCACTGTCCATCTATATACAGTCTTTAAAAACAACTAACCTGCATCAACACTTTTACTGCCTGTTCTGCAGCCAAAGTCTCAGAACGCCATCACCATCGCCGTGTCGTCCCGCGTCCTCTTCAACATGGAGAAGGAGCAGAGGATCTTCGAGCTGCAGGGCATGGAGCAGTACATCAAGTATCAGGTGGAGCACGAGACCGAGCCCTTCAGCCCCGGACCCGCCTTCTCCTTTGTGAAGGTATGGGCTCTACAAAGGACACATATATTCACAACATTTGCTGTTAAAGAATACTCAACAATCTTGGGTAAATTGATCGAATTAAAGAATCAAAGAAAACAATTATAGTGTAATAGTTATTTACAGTTAGAATTTCCCCCTTATTGTCAAATAAAAATATTTATTCCCTTTTTTTGGCCCCTATCGTGTAAAGGTACAGAGGCCAAATCTGGTCCAGGACTTCCTTGAAAAATAGGTTCTTAATTTCAATGGGAGTTTTCTGGTTACATAAAGTTTAAAGAAAAAAGAAAAGAAAGATTTTTAATGCTCCATTCTCATCAAAGTGTCCTATATAGATATCAAATAAGCGCAAAAAGTCTGTCTAATATTCTCACATTATTTTGACCAATCAATGGAACACCAAACTCAATCTCAAAGCACACTAACATGTCACGGCCCACTGGTTTGAAAAACAAACCGAACTGAATAAACTAAAGAAAATCTAAACGTCAGCCCTTTGCCGTACAGTAGAACGCTGACATTTTGACATTTTCCATAATAGCTTTAAGCTCCTGTGTTTTCTCACGTCCTGATTATCTGTGTGAGCAGGCTCTGGAGGCGGTGAACGCTCAGCTCAGAGAACTGTACCCGTCCAGTGAGGAGCTCTTTGATGTGGTGCTTATAACAAACAACCATGCATACGTGGGCCTGCGCCTCATCAACACCATCAACCACCACGGTGAGTCTCACTGAGGCGGCTGAGGCTGCGTGGGGGCGGGAAATGTGATTTTGGTTCACGCCATTTTACAGGCTTTTATTTATCTCTATGCTGAGCCAAAAGAACTATAATAATAGTGATTATAACAATGAGATTATATAGTCACCACTTTCAGAGTGTGAAAGCTCCTGAAAAATGTTTTGCCAAAGTCAAACACAAAGTACACATAAAGTAGGTTACAATGTAAAGGTTATATTTGTGATTTATAAAGAAGTTATATTTTTCAGCATCGATAATGTAGAGCCCCACTCAACATCAAGCCAACAGCTGATAGGACTTTTAGATTTTTGTTAAACGTTCTCTTGCATCTGCACAAACCGGACCATATTTGTCCTCTAATGGTCTGAAGGTTTTCTAATTCTGTGATGTACACATGTTATATTTAAATATGAAAACGATTGTGGGTGAAAGTTAAAACAAAATATGATAAAGTCCTACAATATATTTCAGTTTCAATCATGTATTTTTACTTCATTTTGTAAGGGTTCAACATAAAGTCTATGGGTTCAACGCCTTCAAAGTGTATCAACACTGCCCTCTTGTGGCCTCGTCTGAGAACATTCTGTCAGTTTGTAAGATAGTGCTGTTATTACCTTGACATGTTTGCGATCCTAAACTAAAGAACTCACTGATCTGATATGAAAGTAGTCATGTGACCTGGTTGTATGTGAGTAGATTCATGGGGTGATTTTGAAGTGTGCGTTTAGGCACATTTGTGTTTTTGGGTTTACAAAAGCAATAAATATAAAAAATAATATGAATAATCATAATAATAACAATAACAGTGTGTAAACCCAAACTGAAAAATCACAATTTTCTCATTGAACTTAGACCAGTCTGTGAAGTCTTGGATTCACTGGAGCTTGAAATGATACTGCACATAGATTTTTTTAAATGAAACTATTTGATGTTTGGAGAACAGAGATAGGAGTAAATGAGTGATGTGATGATGTTGGACACATTCTGTTCTGCACACAGCTGTGTTTCCCACACAGTGACTCATGACCCAGTTTCCTTCCGTAGGTCACACTCATGACAAACGGGCCATCGGACAATATTTTGTGTTATCATTATAATGAAAAGAACACTTGCGATTGATAATAACCTCTTCTCAAGTGGAGGAGTTATAGTTAGAGTTAGTATCAAGTATCTCAGATCTGGTTCACGGTGAGGGAAACTGTTGTGGTGAAGAGGGAGCAGCGTCTGCAGTCAGAGCTGTATCGGACTGTTGTAGTGAAGAGGAAGCAGCGCCTGTACATTTCCGCCATGAGTTTTGGACAACGGCCGAGGGGAAACATTTCAGTCACACGGGAGGAGCTTGGAGTATAGCCGCTGCATCTCCACGTTGAGAGAAAACCTCCAGGCAAAGTGTTCTGGGCTCGTCCAGCTGGCGAGGGAAGTCTGGATTTGCTTGCGTTTGCATTTCAACTTGCCCCTAGTGGGATAAATAAAGTAGTCTGAATCTGAAACACATCTCTGGCATTGAAACCAATGTGCCACCACTTTTGCCTTCTGTGGGCAGTTTCAAAATGGCGGCGGGGCAGGAAACTGTGAAAAAATGCATTTGCGCATGTATGACTCGGCACAAGCCCTATCAATTTCACGAGAGCATTCCAAAGTCTACAGCGGCTAAACTAGACCCGAAAAAAAAAATACTCCCCTCAGCTTTGACACACATCTGGAACATAGCTTTGAGTCAAGACAGAGCCAACTTTTGGACCATCCTGTAAAGCCATTTTTGAGAGGAAAGAAGACGCCATACAAAAGCATTGGGTAATTCTCTTTCCGGGTACACCAGCACTGGCTAGGAGCGAGATTGCAAGCACGTCAGCCATGGATCTATTATAATAACGGACGTCAGCGCATAAGCTCATGGACCTTTTGGAGACAAGATCCGCCCCCACTTGTTTGAGCCATATAAACAAGCTATATGAATGTGAGCTTTTAATAAATAGTGTATGTGAAGACTTGATCCTTAATGCATTTTGGCCAATGTAAAGTATACATCCATGTACGTATATATGATTGCATCAGCCTGCCCAGGGACTACGGCTACGGAAATTAGCTCCTGATCTATAACTGGGTGCATCTCTCCCTTTGAGGTTAATGTTTACTGTCACTATAAATGAATAAACCAAACTAAAAAATGTGTGCTCCTTTTGCAGAGTTATTGATCGAGCGCTTCTGCATGACTGGGGGGAAGAGCCCGATCGGATATTTAAAGGCATATCACACTAACCTGTACCTATCTGCGGATTCAAGCAAAGTCCGGGAGGCGCTGGAGGAAGGTACCCACTACAATGACCCAATTGCCCGGATCCTTATGTGGCGAGACGTTAGCATGAGGTTTGTGATTGGCAGGTATAGCAGCGGCCACGATGTTCACCCCAGACAAGGTCACAGAAGTGTCGGACGTGCAGCTGCGGGTGGCCTTCGATGGTGACGCGGTCCTTTTCTCTGATGAGTCCGAGCGCATCTACAAAGCCCACGGTCTGGACAAGTTCTTCGAGCACGAACAGGAGCACGAGAACCGGCCCCTGGACCACGTACAGTACACAGCCACTGAACACAAACACATGCAAAGATCATGTCGATATGGTGGAGGCTTAGGGGTTGTTAAAGCAGGGGTACCTAGAGAGAGTGATAGAGATACAGATAAAAAGATAGAGAGGGAGAGAGAGAGATAGAGAAAGACATACTGTAAAGAGAGACACATAAATAGAGATAGAGATAGAAATAGAGAGAGATAAGAGTTTTAGATATATAGAAATTGAGATAGAGAGAGACGGATTATTGAGTTTCCAGCTGCAGAAACACATCATTCATTGATAAACATTGAAAACATAACGATAAAAGTTACTAACAATAGCAATATAGTAATAAATTGCTCATGTTTAACTCAGAAAGATCTGTTTTAGAGTCTTATAGCCATTCCAACTTTCCAAACCATGATGATCATGTTGGGTACTAGTACTAGCTTTCACATGCGTGTATCTGAGGACGAGTTGACCTTTTTACACAGAAAAGAGTTGAGCATTATTTATTTGCCATCAGATCTCCACCCAAATGTCTGATAGTGACTTAAAGGGTCCTTTCTTACCATTTGGATCAGATAAAATGTTTTCTGATAAGATGAAAACAGTCCATTCTGGTTTGATGTTATTTTATAAGACTCTTTCTGTTGAGACAAACAGCACGTGTTCTGTAAGAGGGAAAGGTTAGAGAGGACCCTAGTCTTCTCCACTTTGCATTTCTGGGTCCAAGCTCAAGCTATTTGTATTAAAACACATAAAACACACATCAACTTGATTAATTCTCAATTCCTCCTTCTACAAATAACCATCAAACATAGTTAGTAAAGTTTATACTTTTCGTGAGAGACCTTTTTTATTTATTTTGTTGCGTAGGGGCCCCTGAAAGGCTTCCTGGAGGCGCTGGGGAAGCTACAGAAGAAGTTTTACGACAAAGGCCAGAGAATGGAGTGCCCCATCCGCACGTACCTGGTGACAGCCCGCAGCGCAGCCAGCTCCGGGGCCCGGGCGCTCAAGACGCTGCGCTCCTGGGGCCTGGAGATAGACGAGGCGCTGTTCCTGGCAGGGGCTCCCAAGGGCCCCATGCTGGAGAAAATCCGCCCGCATCTTTTCTTCGATGACCAGATGTTTCACATAGAGGGCGCTGCTGAGCTGGGGACCGTGGCCTGTCATGTGCCGTATGGGATCGCACAGAAAGCAGCACAGAGGGCTCCTCAGTGAAAGCAAGATCTATTGGAAAACTGAGCAAAAGACTTTTTCTTTGGCATGTAGCTGTCACCTTTTTGTGGTGGTGCTCATTGGTCATGGACTGTAAAGGGATTCACGTCTACAGTCTATGCATTTGGTATGAAAGTAATAGTTATTTGTATATTATTTATCATATGAATTCGCTGTCTGCAGAATAAAAACAGCAAAACTATACATTTAAACAAAACTTTTACTACAGATAACGAGTGCCTTATCAGGAGGTGTTCAAGTATTGATGTGAGAAGATACTATTTTAAAAGAGCCATAGAAAAATAAATTGATAGATATTAAAAAAATAATTAAAAAATCAGATTAAGCAATCCTGTTTTTGTGACGTGTTGTGTTGGAACTGGTGCCTTTTGTCTTGCATGTTTTCTGTCTGCTACAGTATACATGTGTGTCTACTGTTCACAACAGTCAAAGGGAGCGGTGCAATATATTGTGGATTTGAATAAAAATCTTTAAGAGGTTCATGTGTGTTGTATGGAGTGTAAAAATTCACACTAAATGTTTTGTGCTAAACACTTTACATGTTGTTATTCCCCCATATAGAGTTTATCACCTCAAAAAAAGATATTAAAGCTATAGTCGAAAGTATCTGGTATATTCTGTAGTAGATCACTATAAATTATGTGGTTTTATTAGAAATAATAAATGTAACTGGCGCTAAGGTTACCATGACAACTCAAGTTATAGCTGAGTATAACTGACGCTTTGGTTGCCATGACAACTCAGATCATTTTTTGCTGCCGTTTAAGTTTGCTTCTCAAAGAATAAGTTGAGAAGTATTTTAAAGTATGCTGCTATAAAGAGACGTTTTTGCAGCTTGGAAAGAGTGTTATTCTACGATTGGTCTACTAAGGCGCACACGGTAACCTTTTTATTTCATTGTGTCTTTTATTTTGAGACCTGATTCTTATTGTGTGAGTTACTGTATGGAAATTTACTCTTCTCCTTTATCTTTGTAGTTTTCACGGTGTTCCAAATGCCTGTATGAAATTAAATGCTGCTGGACATCAGTCGAGGCGTTAAGTCCTTTATTTTCGGAGATCAACGTAGTTACAGTGAAAACGTATACCTGCCGACGACACTACATCGCCGGCTGTGTTCAACGGAGCTGAGTCAACGGTCAGGACGGCACTTCACTCTGCATCCACACGGGGGAGCCAGAATCTCTCCTCGCCCATCGCCAAGCTTCTGGAGCAAGCCAATTGTGTAAAGTATAATGAAAGTATGAAAATCAGCCCCAGATAACAAGTAAGAGAAAGAAAGAAACAAAAATAAATAAGTAAAAGAGGAATACAATTCAAAATGACTACTCAAGACAACGAACCATTGTTTCCAAAAGATACTGAACAAGATGATACACATCCAAGAAAATCCTCCAGAGAAAGGCAGTTTACACTTAAAATGCAAGAACTAAAAGTCCAAGAAATAAGTCAAAAGGAGAAAAGATTTATTTCAATGTATGAAAAGTGGAAAATTAAAGTAAGAGACATTCGCACAACATTAAAGGAACAGTGCTCTGAAAGGGATTTGTGTATAATGATGGATGAAGCTGAGATGTTGAATTCTGACTTGAAAAAGCTTTATGATGACATTAGACAGCAAACAGTTCCAACTCAAGAAATCAGAAGGAAAGTTGATGCATGCTCTGCCATCACATATGATTTGTTACACTTAATGAATGTGAGGCTAACTGTTATAACAGAAGATTTTGATCTTGAGGCAGAAAGAGCAAAGTTACGTGCTCTCTTAGACAATGACTATGCCAGATCTATTTATGGGTCTACTGTTTCCAAAGTTTCAACACATAGTCATCGATCTGGACAGCCATCAGAAACAGCAAGCATCTCAAGCAAAAAAGCAGAGATTGCAGCACAGTTGGCTGCAAAGAAAGCTGAAAATGACATGGAAGATGCCATTGAAGCTCAGCGTCAACAACTTAAGAAACTTGAAAATAAAAGAGACATTGAGGTAATGGAAGCTAAGTTGAGGGCATATACTGAGGAAGAGATAAAACAAAGGGGCGAGAGCTGCAGTTCTGTACACAGCAAAGTCACCCCGAGTTTGTTCACCTCTCATGTTAAATGTGAACAGCCAGTCACCCAAAATGAAACGCTGGTACAGGCATTTCAAGAATCAGTAGCACTAACTAGACTACCTGTTCCAGAGCCCAGCGTGTTTACAGGTGATCCTTTACAGTTTATAGAGTGGAGCACCAGCTTTAAGGCTCTAATAGAAAGGCGATGCTCAAATCCTGCAGACAGACTTTTTTACTTGCAAAAGTACATAGCAGGCGAAGCTAAATCTACTCTAGAAGGCTGCTTCTATCGTAAAGATGAAGACGCTTATAAACAAGCATGGGAAAGGCTAAACGATAGATATGGGCATTCATTTGTAGTACAGCAAGCCTTCAGAGAGAAACTCTATAAGTGGCCAAAGATTGGTGGAAAGGAGTATGTAAAGCTTAGAGAGTACAGTGATTTTCTTCAAACGTGCAGTCATGCTATGCCTCATATTAAAGGTCTACAAGTTCTAAATGACTGTGAGGAGAATCAGAAAATGCTAAACAAACTCCCAGATTGGATAACATCCAGGTGGAATCGTTTGGTCACTGAACAACTGGATAAAAGTAAAGATTATCCAAGCTTCCAAGAGTTTTCCTCCTTTATTTCCAAGGAGGCACGCATAGCTTGTAATCCTGTGTCATCTCTGCTCGCTCTCAAGCCACCTGCAGAACCAATTAGAGAAACAAAACGTGCAAGGGCAAACACCTTTGTTACTAATGTAAAGACGTCTAATATTTCCAGCCCTGCATTCAAGTCTAACAAAGAACAAGTCAAATCAAAGGACACGGACAATCAAAATAGAAATGATGTCCCTGCGTGTATCTGCTGTGGAGAGAATCACACCATACACAAGTGCCCATGGCTTACTGAAATGTCTGCAGATGGAAAGAAAAGGTACGTAATGGAAAACAAACTGTGTTTTGCATGTTTGAGAAAGGGCCATAATTCAAAAGATTGTAAAAACCGAGCAATGTGCGGAATTTGCAAAAGGAGCCATCCAACCCCCTTGCATGAGGACCGCTCTTTTTCCGGCAAACAACCTGCACTGAGCACAGTTGATGAAAACACTTGCTCATTATCCTGCTCAATGGGAGAAGGTGAAAATGGAAGCACTTCAATGATAGTTCCTGTGTGGATAACTTCAGTTAATGCTCCTGACAGTGAAACTTTGGTATATGCACTACTAGATACACAAAGCACACACACATTTGTTGATCAAGAGGTGTGTGAAAGACTGCAGGTAGCAACAGAACCAGTCAAACTAAAACTTGCCACTATGGTCAAAAGAGACTCTATTATAGAAAGTCAAAGAGTACAAGGACTCAAGATCAGAGGATACTATTCAAACACATGCATTGAGCTTCCCCCAGCTTACACAAGAGACTTCATTCCACTCGAGCGTTCTCATATTCCTACATGTCAAACAGCAAACAAATGGCCACACCTTGCTAATTTAGCTGAAAAGATGCCCCCTCTAATGAACTGTGCTGTTGGACTTTTGATAGGTTACGATTGCTCCAGGGCATTAGCTCCCAGAGAGGTCATCACTGGTGGTGACAATGAGCCTTATGCTGTAAGAACTGACTTAGGTTGGAGCATTGTTGGAGGTGCACCTCATCTTGCGAACGCTAGTAATGTAACTGGATTTTGCAATCGTGTGTGTGTTAAAGAAATTCCAACTTTAACTCCCTCCGCTATTATTAAAGTACTGGAGTCAGATTTTGCAGACACTAAAGAAAGTCACAGTGACGTCTCCCAAGAGGATATCCAGTTTCTTCAAACTCTAAGCAGCAAAATCAAACAAAATGAGCATGGTCATCTTGAGATGCCCCTGCCCTTTAAAGCACGCCCACAGCTCCCGAACAACAAATCTCTGGCTCAAGTTCGTTTAAAGCACCTCAAAAGGAAACTAGACAGAGACCCAAAGTTTAAAAGTGACTATGTTAAGTTCATGGAAGGAGTCCTCAGAGATGGTGATGCTGAGAAGGCAGACGTGCAGCCAACGTCTGAAACCGCCTGGTACATACCACACCACGGCGTTTATCACCCCCGCAAGCCAGACAAAATCAGGGTGGTTTTTGACTGCTCAGCCAAGTTCAAAGGAACAGCATTAAACGACCACTTACTAACAGGACCTGATCTTACAAACGGCCTCACAGGAGTGCTATGCCGTTTTCGTAAGCACAACGTTGCAGTCATGTGTGACGTGGAAAAGATGTTTCACAGGTTCCATGTTAGAATAGAGGACAGAGACTATTTGCGGTTTCTTTGGTGGGAAAATGGGGACACAGAGTCGGAGCCCACAGAATACCGAATGAAAGTTCACTTGTTCGGTGCGTCCTCATCTCCTGGCTGTGCCAATTATGGCATGAAATATTTAGCCAATGAAAATGAAAGAGAGTATCCATCTGCCGCAAACTTTGTCAAAAAACATTTCTACGTGGATGACGGTCTCACAAGTGTAGAGACAGTTGAGGAAGCAATCAAGCTGGTGAAAGAGGCCCAAGCGTTGTGTGCAAAGGGAAAGCTCCACCTTCATAAGTTCCTATCAAATAACAGGGAGGTTCTGGACTCTATTAATGCTAAAGAACGAGCTGTGGAGATAAAAGACATTGACCTTAACTGCAAAGACCTACCAGTACAAAGAGTTCTAGGCATAAGATGGGATATTAGAAATGACAATCTTTTCTTTCAAGTGACACTTGATGAGAAACCTATAACGAGAAGGGGTATTCTGTCAGTTGTGGCATCCCTTTATGATCCTCTAGGGTTCCTAGCACCTTTCATTCTTGAAGGAAAGAAAGTGTTACAAGAGATGTGTCAAAAGGGTGTCGGGTGGGACGATCCACTTCCTGCTGAGCTAAGATTGAGGTGGGAAGGCTGGATTAGTGATCTGGAAAATCTCAAGTTGATTCAGATCCCCCGATGCTTTAAGCCTGTTGAATTTGGTGAAGTACAGAGGGTTGAGCTTCATCATTTTTCAGATGCAAGCAGTCAAGGATACGGTCAGTGCTCTTACATCAGATTAGTGGGTGATCACAAGGTACACTGCACACTAGTCATGGGCAAAGCGAGGGTGGCACCAACCAAAATAGTTACCATCCCAAGATTAGAACTGACTGCTGCAGTATCTTCAGCCGCTGTAAGCAGCATGCTGAAAAGAGAGTTAGAACTTAAAGTTGACAGAGAGTATTTTTGGACAGATTCAAAGGTAGTACTGGGTTATATCAATAATGAGGCTAAAAGATTTCACGTCTTTGTAGCTAATCGGGTCCAAAGAATCCGTGAGACCACTAACCCTCAGCAATGGTACTACATAGACACAAGCGAAAACCCAGCCGACCACGCCTCTAGAGGCTTGAAAGTCACAGACCTTATCCACTCAAATTGGTTCACTGGGCCCACATTCTTATGGAACAATGAGATTGTCACAGATCAAAGCACGTCTGAGCTTATGGTGGGAGATCCGGAAATCAAAACAATACAAGTGCTACAAACCAAAGCTACGCTACAGTGCAACGTCAAAGAGCTCCTGTCACGATTCTCAAAATGGACTACTGCAATAAATGTCATTGCTCGAATCCAACGCATGGCTAAAGGACTAAAAACGGCAGAACCACCAAATGTAGGAGAAAGACAACATGCAACATTAACTCTTGTCAAGCTTGCACAACAAGAGGCATTTCAAAAGGACATGAGCAATCTCAGTCAATCACAAAGGTTGCCTCACAATCACAGACTGTATGAACTGGATCCATTTCTGCAAAATGGTGTAATGAGAGTTGGAGGTAGGCTTAAAAATGCCTCTTCACATTTTGAGTTGAGACATCCAGTAATACTACCTAAAGACTGTACTTTAACAAATCTCATTATTGCACACTTCCATGAAAAGACCCAGCATCAAGGCAGAGGCCAAACCTTGAATGAGATCAGAGCAAACGGCTTCTGGATTGTTGGAGGAAGTAAAGCAGTAGCGCAGTACATCAGACAATGTGTATGGTGCAGGAGAGTTCGTGCCCCACTAGAGCAACAGAGAATGGCAGATCTACCTAGCGACCGCACTGATCCATCGCCACCATTCACTTATTGTGGCATGGACTGCTTTGGCCCCTTTTACACCAAACAATGTCGAAAGGTATGCAAGCGGTACGGCCTTCTGTTCACGTGTCTGAGCTCTAGAGCAATTCATCTTGAGATGTTAGAGGACATGACAACTGATGCGTTCATCAACGCCCTAAGATGCTTTATAGCTATTCGTGGATCTGTGAGACAGATCAGATCAGATCAAGGATCGAACTTCAAAGGAGCAAAAAATGAACTGACAAAGGCTCTTAATGAAATGGACAAAGACAGAGTCAAATCTTACCTGGCAGAAAAGCAATGTGACTTTCTCATGAACGCACCAAGCTCAAGTCACGCTGGAGGAGCATGGGAGCGACAAATCAGGACAGTGAGGAGCGTGCTGAGTCAAGTTCTTTCCCAAAGTGCTGAAAGGCTGTATGATGCATCCTTAAGAACTTTTCTTTATGAAGCGATGTACATTGTAAACAGCCGCCCACTTACAGTCAATTGTCTAAATGACCCCACAAGTTTAGAGCCCATAACACCTAACCATCTTATCACCATGAAATGTTCTGTACCACTTCCCCCACCTGGCAACTTTGTTAGGGAAGATGTGTATGCAAAGAAACGCTGGAGAAGAGTCCAATACCTGTCTGAACAGTTTTGGAGCAGGTGGAGGAGAGAATATCTTTCCAACATAACACTAAGACAGCGTTGGCATGCATCAAAACGTAATGTGAGAGTTGGTGATATTGTCATTGTTAAAGATGAGAACATTCCTCGTAATGAATGGACACTTGGTAAAGTTATTGAAGTACATGAGGGTGATGATGGACTGGTGAGAAAGGTAACTTTACAAATCGGAGACAAAAAACTGGGAAGAAAAGGTGAACGCTTACATAAGCCTACTCTTATACAAAGACCTATTCAAAAGTTGGTTGTACTTGTTGAGAGTAATTAAATGGTATCAGACCTATGTTTCTTACATTGTTATTGTTGAAATGTTATTTTTGTTTTGTTTTTGGAAATTACCCTTGATGTTTGTTTAATGTATAAAGTATAACATCGTCATTATTATAAAGGTAATTTGGTGGGAGTGTAACTGGCGCTAAGGTTACCATGACAACTCAAGTTATAGCTGAGTATAACTGACGCTTTGGTTGCCATGACAACTCAGATCATTTTTTGCTGCCGTTTAAGTTTGCTTCTCAAAGAATAAGTTGAGAAGTATTTTAAAGTATGCTGCTATAAAGAGACGTTTTTGCAGCTTGGAAAGAGTGTTATTCTACGATTGGTCTACTAAGGCGCACACGGTAACCTTTTTATTTCATTGTGTCTTTTATTTTGAGACCTGATTCTTATTGTGTGAGTTACTGTATGGAAATTTACTCTTCTCCTTTATCTTTGTAGTTTTCACGGTGTTCCAAATGCCTGTATGAAATTAAATGCTGCTGGACATCAGTCGAGGCGTTAAGTCCTTTATTTTCGGAGATCAACGTAGTTACAATAAACACTAAAATAGTGTCTTGCTTTAACACATTTATTTGAAATGTATGGTGGTGGAGAATTTATTTATTCTCCACCACGTTTGTGCAATCTGACATTCATTCATTTGATTATTTTAGAGACAATGCCGGCCACAGTTCCTCCAACACCAGCCACTGCTGCTGTAGCTGCGGTCGAGAGTCCACCCATCGCTGCAGGCACAGAGACAGAGAGACACACAAACAGAGACAAACACAAAGACATAGACGCACATTAGCAATACAGCGCTAACATAATATACTGTGTATTCTGAACAAAAACTATGAATATTGTTCAAAACTGAATTTATATCTGTGTCTCAAACTAAAATCTGAAACAGCTACATGATGTAGACTCATTTTCTTAAGCTATCATTATTATGATATATATATTTTTTCCAGCTGTGAGTCATAATTATCTCATTGATTCATGTAGTCTTATATTATTCTCAAATTGTAAGTTGAATTACAGAAGTAAATAGACTTTTGAACATTTTTTATCTGAGTTTCACCTGAAATATTAAACATATCCAAACACTACACTACACTTTGCACAATTGCCCTGGGGCAGACTGGCAGAGATCTGGCTGGCATTCTGCCCCATGGTCCTGTCTAGGGTTGGACTGGGACCAGCCCTTCAGCAATTAAAATAAAGTGCAATGTACATTACAAAATAGTAATAAGCATGTCACTACATGGTTCCAGTTCCAAAACTATTGTTTGTTAGAAGGAATGAGAAAGTCTGAAATCGTGTCAGCCAAAAGTCAAATCAGTTTGGTTTTACTTTTGGACACAACCAACATGCACTGTTAATGCAAGGGAAAATGTAGGCACCTCAGTTTTAATTTAGCTTAGTTTAGTTGCGCTTCGGGAGCGGGGTGTTCATTGCGTACACAGGTTACGCAGAGACATACACAAATCAAGCAGTGCACATGGTCCACCCTGGTCCTGTCAAATCACTGAGCAGCTCATCCGTTTTCCCAAAGACACGAATATAATATATAAACGTACCAGCTGACTGGAGTACAGCTACTGCACTCCCAGCGGCCACTCCTCCTCCATTAGCCACAGCTGCAGCTGACATCATTTTGGCAGCCACAGATCCAGCCGCGATCCCCACCGATCCAAAGCCCACTGCTCCCAGGACCACAGGCAACGCGACCACGGTGCCAACTACTCACACAAAACATCAGACAATTTAATCTTCAGATACATTGATTTTAATGGAAAGGCAAGAAGCAGAGGTGTAATCAGTGGTGTGCCTGTAGATCTTGACATTACTGGGGTTACGGGGTCAGAGGCGGTTTTGATTTGTCTGAGAATCAGAAGAAAGTTTGACATTTGACATTTGAGGGAGATCTGCCGGAAAGGTATTGATTGAACTTATTTGATATTGATTGAACTTATGTGATATTGATTGAACTTATGTGATAATGATTGAACTTATGTGATAATGATTGAACTTATGTGATATTGATTGAACTTATGTGATATTGATTGAACTTATGTGATATTGATTGAACTTATGTGATAATGATTGAACTTATGTGATAATGATTGAACTTATGTGATAATGATTGAACTTATGTGATAATGATTGAACTTATGTGATAATGATTGAACTTATGTGAGGCCATTTACGCCAGGCCCACAGGTGCTACTTGTGGCAGGCGTGGGCACATGTGTCCGCGGTGTTTACAGGGACGCAAATGTGTGGATGTGAGGAGTGTACGAATGTATTCATAGAACCATAGTTCAGAGGTAACTGTAAATTATATTGTAATATTTGGCTGACAAAAATATTTAATTTTTTTTGTCAGGAGTAAAAATTCAGTTGCAACTGTAGTGGCACTTTGGTGTGGTACGGGGTTGAATACAATAAATATATCAATGATCTGATATAGTAATCTACACTCCAGGATCACTGTCAACGTTTCCTGTCCAGGATCAGTGATTTATTGGGTTAGAGGTTAGGACTAGGGTTAACTAAGGTTAGGTAATAGTGTAAAGGTTAAGGTTTAAGAAGCCCAGGTGCACACTGGACTAGCCTGGTCGTACCACACCTTAGTACAAATTTCATTTCATACTAAGGTCTGGATTTGCTCCATTGAGCTCCGTGAACAGGTGGAAGGGGTTAACTCCTTTTGCAGATTGAAACGATTGGATCTGAGTTTACCGTGACGTATGTAATGCGCCCGAGTGAGTTGTTAGCATTTAGGATTTAGCCTAGCTTTAGCCATCTCCTTTGCTGCTAACGGAGCCCGTGGGGAGTAGCGCCTCAATCTTGACCAGCGATTACATTTTCAAAACATTCCTCTTGCTCCTGCTTCAATTTCTTGATAGAACCAGACCGGATTACTTTACTATCGCATTCTTCGCCACTGCCAAACTACAACCTGCCCGTTCGGCGCAAACTCTTGACGTCACCGGCACCGACCTTCAACACGCTCTCTGAGTAGCCGGTCGAAATACGACCGATTGTATTCGCTAACACAGGGACCAGACCCAGACGCTACATGCAGTGAAATGATGATTGAGCGGAGTGTACGGATGGCTATGGCCAGGCTAACACTGGAGTAGTCTTGCAGTTTTTCCAATGTGGTTTGACTGCAAATGCCAAATCAAATCTTGAATCTTCATTGAGTCCAGGATCAACTTGTAACAGTGATCCTGGACTTTTAGGATAGGAGAACCTTTATTTGTCCCACAGTGGTTCAATTTTGTTGCAGCACACATACAGGAGTGTGTGCATACAGGGAGCACACAAAATATGCAATTACTTGCCGATATCAGATTGTGTAATGAATACAACAAAAAACATAAATTAGTCACCTGCTCCAGCAGCAATGGCACCAATCGTCCCTAAAATATAAAGAAAAAAATGTCATACAGTTAAAATCAATGCAGGCTACATGGACTCTCCGAATCTTGGTATTTCAGCCCGGGCTCAGGGAAATATTATATTATTTTTTATTAGATAATGGAAGGGCATCCCAAGTCGGACATCCCTACCTTTTTACTTAACTTGTCCTTGTTCCTGATGTTAGCCTAAGCGATTAAGACTATGTTTGGCACTTTTTGCCTATGTATCTACCTCCCTGGTAAGTATTTTGCGTTTGAAGGTCGTTTTGGTGTAACTATGCACTCAAGCTGATTGGGCGAGTCTTTTGGCTTTTGAAATTGTAATGTTTTCTAGAACAGTGCGTGTTTGAGTTGAGCCATGGTCTTCAATGAAGGACCAAAACTGCCAAAATAATAAATATATCAATTATTGTTCAATGAATTGTCATGTTAAAAGATTTAATTTGTAATCCCTCATCCAGGGGAATCCCGATGTGTCCCCAACATGTCCTGGGTCTCCCCTGGGGTCTCCTCCCGGGCGGACATGCCTACAACATCTCCCCAGGGAGGTGTTCTGGGGGCAGCAGCAGCTCTACTCCGACCTCCTCCACTGCGACTGAGCTCTTGCGGTATAAGGGTTGTGCAGCTGCAGGTTTTCCTTCATGAGCGCCCGTTCACTCTGCGGTCCTTCACATCAAGACCATAGGTGAGGGTGAGATGTTAGACTGCGTTTTAATAACTTTCCTCTGCACCACTACACTACAGTACTATTGACCTTTAAATAAAGACAAAACAAACTGTGTGGTTCCTATAGAAATGACTTTGTACGAGTTTTAAAAGAAAAAAATATAACAACATTCTGGGGATCACCCCCATGCTATCAAAACTATAAAGTATTATTTGATAGAATTGAAATTGACATAGTCCATAGCCTTATCGTCCATGTTGACAGCAGCACATAAAAAAACTCACAGCTAAAGAAGGTATTCATCATATACTGCTCAAAACTTAACACATTTAACTTTATTTGATTCTAGTAATGTTTGTGAACTGGTGATGCTGTTGTTTTATCGCCTGTTCAAGTGAAAAAGGTGTCGGTCTAAAAGATACACACAAAAATAAATAATTATTTGTTCTTTATAACCACTGAGAACTTTACCAATGTCATGAAGAAGATGAGCCAAGTCTGGGATCGCGTCTTTAATTCAGACAGAAGACATGTTTTATTGTCAATGGTAGAGACAGCACGAACAACAGAATGCAGGTGTATTATACAGAGAGGAGGCATGGAGACCTCCCATCAGCAGCTGCCACAGTGCCATGTAGCTTGGCCTTCAGATAGACAAAACATCAAGTGGAAAAGTACTGGCTTCTGCACATTGATAGAATGATGAGTTTAACTTTAAGTGTTGTGAAATCTCACAGTCACTATAGTACACACCATAGACTTAAATATGAATCAAACACTGCTAAATCCCTCTTGGATTAGTCCTTTGACAGAGCAGATATTGTACCGAGCGAAAGACCCAGAGAGAGCAGCAGCATAACAGTCAGAGGTAAAATACTCACAAATGGCCATGGCGTAAAGATGAGAGGGTTTGACGTGAAAGATGCTGTTGTGATCTTCTTAGTGCGTTTTTATCATAATATCTGGTGTTTATCGGGGGTGGCGCTCAACTTGTGTGTATTTCCGCCACCTACTGTATCGGAGTACAAAAATAACCAAGAAAAAATAAGACAAAAATTGATAATCTCTCTCCATGAGTCCTGAATCCTTAAAAAACTAATTTTATTTTTCACCTTTGTTGTTGAAAATGTTCATAGTAAACTCCAACCCCTGCTCTTACTTTATCACAATGTATCAGTAGATGACGTATTACAATATCTCAGAACCTTACTACCTCATTACAATGTGAACATAACGCAGTTAGGTGTTTATTGAGTAATTCGAATTACGTGCTGTGCCATTTGCAGACTTTTCCATGCAAAACATTCGCGCTTTCACTTTGCAGTCTCTCTTTCCTCTGCGTGATTCCCTCGTTTTCATTTTCCAGGAATCGAAACTTAATTTCAAGACTGAAACCAACCAAAGACCACTGGGGGGCGCTCACAACTCTAGACCATACACTGTAAATATAAACTCGAGACCAAACATTTGATTCTGTGTTTTTGTAATATCTTGAAGAATCTATATTTTTGGTAAATCTAAATGTATGTATGTAAGTAAGTAATCTTTATTTATATACCGCCTTTCACAGACCAGACTCACAAAGTGGTTTACAATTGTTATATATATATATATATCTAATTTTTTTGGGCAATTGTCCTCTCACTCCACACAGAGATGGGGTCGCCAGTACAGGAGGCGCATGCCAGATCTATTGTACATGTTTTTAGTTGTAGGGGAAACCGGAGTACCCAGAGGAAACCTACGCAGACACGGGGAGAAACATGCAAACTCCACTCAGAAAGCCCCCCCGACGGGATTCGAACCCAGGACATTCTTGCTGAGAGGCGAGAGTGCAATCCACTCAGCTACCGTGCATGGAAGTAGCTTTATTTACTGAGATAAATACATATGCAGTCATAGTATTTCCTGTCTGCATTCTTTGTCTAAAGTGGGTTGGTAAGCTACAGACCAGATTTCTTGTAGCTTTGTCAATAGTTCATAGCCTGTAGGGGTGTAGGTCTATACATTTGGTAGCTATAAAACAATGTATATTTAGGTTATTTGAATTATCTTTCTTCACGATACGACAGCATGCCAGATGAGAGGACGTGTTCACGTTGTGGTATCAAAGTATTCATATGAGAAAATATTTCAAAATTGTGTCAGTACATGTCTCAGTTCACAGTAGTGAAAGGGAGAGGTGCAACATATGGTGGACTTGAATAAAAAGCTTTAAGTGGGTCATTTGTGCTGTATGAAGTGTTATAAAAACTTCATAAAATTCATACAACATGTTTTGCATGTTATTCCCCAGTTACTATTTGAACTAGCCACATTATCAAAACATCCAGACAAACTCTAGTTGCTCTTTATCTTCAGCACGCACTTGATCCTGACACCAATGTGACGTATTAGCAAAAAACTATAATCAGGTTATATTTGAAATTACAATGCAGGACGCTATTTCAGTGTTCAACAAATGTATTTATTTGAAAAAGAACATTTCAGATTAAGAGTGCGAGGGCACCGGCCACAGCTCCTCCAGCACTGCCCACTGCGGCAGAAGCAGCCGTCGACAGTCCTCCCATCGCTGCACCAACACACACACACACACACACACACACACGCACACGCACACGCACACACGTTAATCATGTTTTGTAAAACAAGCTTTCTTGAACATTGTTCATGAATTAGTCCTCCACAATCAAAAGTATGTCAAAGAAGCGTATATAGTTGGGGCAAGATCCCAGAGTGTTCTTTGATCAATTCATTTTATAACAGAACTTTTTCATTCCCATGAAAAAGTTTTTTAAGAACGAAACATCTCGAAAACCTGCTGAGAAGTACAGATGATGGGTGAAACCTTCCTTTGCTGAGAGCTTACACAAAGTTAACAGAGAATGACCCAAAGTGACAGATTGTTTTAAGGAGATGCATTCATCTTTGATTTACTCCTGAGTTTTGATTGATTTATAACAAGTTGGATTTCAATAACAGTTGGAAAACACTAAAACAAAATTGTTTCCTTTTTAATCATTTGCAGGGGAATATCAGGAGCTTCTCTCTATGGAACATGCTGCTCTTGCTGCATATGGTCTTTGTAAAGAGCATCCTAATATATTCAATTTAATATTGCCTTTCCTAAGGCAAACTTGATCTTATGTCCACATTATTCCACATTAAAATGTATGACAAATGTAGACATGTTTGTGTTGGTGATAAGAAGAGTGTGGTGTCTGGCTCTGGGTGCAGACAGTTTGTTCTGTCAGTGTGCAGGGCATGGTCAGACTTGCCTCTTGGGCTGTGCCACACCAGTGCAAGTACATCACTCTGCAGTATTTAAATGAAATCACACAATCTGCCACCTCCAGTTGTGGCGTTATATGTAGTAATGACCAAGTTTTTGTATTGTAATCTGTAATGTTTTTGTATTGTATTATGCAATGATTTTGTATTAATGTCTTTAATGATTTTTTGTGTATTTACATAAAAATAAAAAGAACAACATTCTCAAAACTCTCACCCATTCCTTCACACACAAATACAGCATATCAACTCACCAACTGACTGGAGTACAGCCACTGCACTCCCAGCAGCCACTCCTCCTCCATTGGCGATAGCTGCAGTTGACATCATTTGGGCAGCGTAAGATCCAGCCACGATCCCCACTGATCCAAAGCCGACTGCTCCCAGGACCACAGGCAACGCGACAACGGAGCCTGCTACTCACGCAAAACAGTCAGTCAAAATATAGGGCTAAGGTAAAGAGTAAATATTATGGATTTTTTAGTTTTACTTGTAAAAACTCATTTAGATATACTAATAAAAGGCAGAAAAGTGCTGTGAGCATGATCTTATATAATGTTACAATGACATCATGCTGTATCAGGATCCTGATATTATCATCATGGATGGGTCTAAAAACAACTTCTGGGCTATTTCTGATGAGGAACAAGGTTGCTACGTGGTCACACAAAATATCCCAAGCGTTATATTTAATAGTAATAAGGACTATAAAATTGTGAACCAGGTCTAAAGTATAAACTGTGGGTCCAGACCAGACTGAGATTTAGCCCCGAGGCTGCAAGTTTTAGAAGCCTGCTATGGTCAGTATAAGAGACTTTCTACTGTCTTTGGACAAAACAAAGTTATTCATTCACCATCGAATGATATTTCTATATGTTGTAGCCAAATGCTAGTTACAAACGTTATTATTATAGATCCATGGTTACAGATAAACAAATCATAACAAAGCCAATGATGAATAGAAAAAAAATAAAAAATAAAATAACCTGCTCCAGCTCCGACAGCAAGGATGGTCACTAAAATCAATATGACACAGTTAATTATTGTTATTCATATAGATACAAATTCAATAATAAGGACTTACAAAGGCCCATGGTTAGACGAAGCTAAGTCCTGGATGACTGGATGCTGAGCAGGGAGAGGCTGTGCTTTATACCCAGCTGTTGTTTCACTTCCCAGGAAACGAAACTCCATTTTTTTTTTTTTTTTTTATTGACACAAATAAAAACATACTCTGAATACAAAGCAAGTTCAACATTTAAATGTAGTAAGACAAAAAAAACCGAAGGCCTACATTTACAGGTAACATACATTTGCTGTTATTTTGTAAATGTAAAGGGAATGTACCAATAAATGGAAGAAGTTTAAAATCATTAAAATACGATAAGATAACTTTTATTCTTCATTCTATGTTTCTTAGCTATAGCTGTAAATGCTTCAATATCGATATCAATATCAAGATAGATCGATAGATAGATAGATACTTTATTGATGCCCGTAAGAGTAATTCAGGTGTCCAGTAGGAGCAAAAACACATCCATCCACACAAACAACACAAATAAACTGATCATTCTAAAAAGCCAACAATAGTAGTAAATAAACAGCGAATATCTTAGTGTTACTGAGATAAAGTGAAGTCTGAAATTGTTTGAAGTCATTTCTCCAATCTCTAAATAATGTAGCTAGCAATGGATTTAACGTATGTATTTAAGCTAAAAATATAAGATTGCTGAAAATAAAAAAGATTGTTTGAATAAAAAAAACTTTAAGAGGTGAATTTGTGTTGTATGGAGTGTTGTAAAAATCCAAATTCATACACACAAATTGGGACATAGTCTTTGCATGTTACTCCCCAGTTAATGTTAATAGTCACATAAATGAGTCCAGACAAACTTTCATTGCTCTTTATCTTCAGCAGCACACACCTGATCCTGACACCAATGTGACGTAGCAGAGCACTATGATGAGGTTGTATTAGAAAGTGGGTTGAAATAGTTTGCAACAGCAGCGCCCACAGTTCCTCCAGCAGCGGCCACTGTGGCTGAAGCAGCAGCCGACAGTCCTCCCATCGCTGCACACACACACACACACACACACACACACACACACACACACACACACACACACACACACACACACACACACACACACACACACACACACACAAATAATGTTTTGTAAAACAAACTCTTGAAAATGTTTCATGAATTTCCACAACAATCAAAACATGACAAAGCAGCGTACAAAGTTGAGGCTCACCCACTCTGACAATATCCCAGAGTGTGTGTTTAGTGGGATGTTTTTACTTTTTGATCAATTCATCTTACAGCGAATAACCCAAAGTGACAGATTTGCATCCATCTTGATTTACTCATAAGTTAATATTGATTTATAACATGTCAGGTTTCTACAAAAGCTGTACTCCTCTGGCCGCACTCTCCGGTCCTCTGGCCAGAACCTGCTTGTGGTCCCCAAAACCCATTATAAGACTCGAGGGGACCTGTCTTTTCAGTCTGTTGCTCCCAGACTGTGGAACGCCCTGCCCCTGTCCCTTCGTCTGGCCGACTCTGTGGACTCTTTTAGAACTGCAACTAACGATTATTTTGTAATCGATTATTTTTACGATTAATCGAGTAATCGCTTGGCTGTAAATTGTTTAGAAAAAAAATATTTTTTCATCACAAAAAGTTAAAGTGGCAACACTCGAGGACGTATTGATGGCGTAAACTTAAAGTAAATGTTTGTAACAGTTCACTTTGTGCTAATTCTGCTATCTGATTGGATGAGACAGACAGATATTCATGAAATTATAAAAACAAAGTCGGTTTTAATCAAAAATACTACATTTTCATGTCATTTTTGCTCTGTTTGAGTCCGTGTGAACCAGAAAACGATTAATCGATTACTAAAATAGTTGTCGACTATTTCAATAATCGATTAGTCGTCGATTAATCGATTAGTTGTTTCAGCCCTAGACTCTTTTAAAAAAGGCTTGAAGACTTATTTATTTAAGAAAGCTTTTAGTTGATTGGGTTCTCACTGACGTCACTTTTACGTACATGTGTGTAAATGTATTTTATATTGTTTCGTCTTTGTCCACTGTCCTGTACAGCACTTTGTGATTTTTACCTGTGAAAAGCGCTTTATAAATAAACTTTACTTACTTACTTACAAAAGTTGGAAAACACATTAACTAAATTTTCCTGTTTAAACCTTTGCAGGAGAATATCCAGAGGAAAATTATGTTCTTTCTTCAAATTATCTTTGTAAAGAGCCACCTAAAGCATTTTGATAAAACTTCTTAAGGAGGGCAATGTAGATCTTATGTCCACATTATTCCACAATAAAATGTATATAACAAATGTACATGTGACAAGTGGAGAGATATCACTCATGATTAAAACTAAATTAAAAGGTTCCAACAACGACAGTCTTCCTAGTTATGTTGAATACAGTTCCTGGGGACATTTGTGAAACTAAATGGGGACTCCTGGGTGCAGGTGAAACTACGTGACTTGCATCACTCTGCAGTATTGAAATAATATCACACCTAATGTCTGCCTCCTCCAGCTCTAATAAAACAATAAAACAAGCTACTCTCACCCATTCCTTCAGACTCACCAGCTGACTGGAGTACAGCCACTGCACTCCCAGCAGCCACTCCTCCTCCATTGGCGATAGCTGCAGCTGACATCATCTTGGCAGCGACAGTTCCAGCCACGACCCCCGCTGATCCAAAGCCCACTGCTCCCAGGACCACAGGCGCCAGGGCCACGGTGCCGACTACTCACACAAAACATCAGTCAACCAGGGCTATTCCAATAAAAGAAAATATGATGATTATCTTTGGTCAAAAATGACCGGCTACAAACACAGCCACGCAATTGAAACATATTTTCAGAAGAGAACTTGCCAAAACTCATTTAAGTGGAAATACTTAAAAGATAGAAAACCACCCTGAGCCTTATTAGTACAATGACATCATAGTATGACAGGATGGAGAGAGAAGCTTTTAGAGTTAAAGACCAAGTTATTAATTCACCATCAAGTAGACAGATCCTAGTTACAAACAAAATAATAAAAAACCTGCTCCAACAGCAACACCAGCGACTGTCCCTAAAAAAAAAACAATAAAAGATGAATAATTTCTAGATACATATGGTTCAACATTCCAATGAAGAAGACTCACAAGGGTCCATGGTTGTGGCTTCACGTCTTTGAGACTGAATCAGTGAAGTTATATACTCTTTGAATCCTGAGGTGGGGCCGTTATTATAATAGAACCATGGGTGGGGCGGGCTGATAATCTTCCCAGGAAACGAAACTCAAAATACAAAATGAAAGGAGGACAGCTGGTGAACAAAACTACGTCATAAATGTTTTGCAATATTTTAAATGGTAGCAGATTACGTTGATAATAGTCAGTATATTAACAGATGTGTGTATACAACTTTAGATATATTAAAAATAATCCAAATCCAAAAAATGAAAGCGCTGTAATTCCAAACCAAAGTTGCAAATCAGCGTAAAACATGGCCAAAACTAAAATGTGTTTTTAATTGTGTTAAAGGCCCTTCTGTTGTAGCGTTTCATATGCTCATTGTGTACGCAAATAAATAAAAGAGTTGTTGGAATATATCAGTTGGAATATCATGCTGAGACGGCAGTAATAAGGGAGATATAGAACATTTAAGATAATAGCTATGCTCTTTGTTTGGGTTTATTATATTAATTCCTCCGTGACAGTGTTGCGCATGCGCGGGGGATACAGGCTCAAGGATGCTAACTGTGGCGTTCATCTTTACATAACACCATTAAAACCATAGACTTTTGGAGTCTGTCTTCTATGTTTCACACACTTGTCGCCTCCCGTCAGCTCTTCTACATGCTGTAGTGTGGCTCTTTCATCTCGATGTCTGTGGCCAAAGCGAAACACAGAGTTTTAAACCCGGTAAGAAGCTTGTTCCAGCAGATGCGTTTATGCTCTGGTTTATGCTAGCTTTAGCATATTAGCTGTCGATGCTATAAGACTGGGCTCTTCATTTTATGCCATTGTTATCCTCGATAATCAAAGTGAATGTTAAAATGATTGCTTCACAGGTGGTCCCGTACACTGGCGTCATTCCTGGAGGCCTGCACCCCGGGGAAGTGATCGTGGTCCAGGGCTCTGTGCCCCAAGATGCAGACAGGTAACTGCACTGCACAGAAACAACACAGGCAGATAGAAAAGCTTTGCTTATCAACAAAGCATTGGACAAGAGTGAAATTAGGGAAAGACGAGATCAGATCACAATCAGAAGATCATAACCCACTCAATCCTTGAGGCTGTGCACCTTCACACTTGTAGCTCTGTTTCAGACTCTGAACCAACTCTGGTTTACTTGTGGATGTAGAAGTACCAGACAAGTGAACACAGGTCCTGTGTGTATAGGAGGATTATCTCAAATTTTAGAAAACCACTCTCTACATTTTGTACAAAACTCTGGTCTTTTGATGAGCACGTATCACCAGAATGATTGACAAATGGGAGGACCAATAGTTTTGATGATTCTCACAGAAGTAGAAAATCCTCCTATATACCTTTAATTCGGGTTACATCTTTTATAACAGATCAATGAAGCATTTTTTCCCCAATGATCCAGATCTGGTCCAGTTAAAGTGATTCAGACCAACTAGTGTGAACGTGCCCTTATAAGTTATCACATAAATAACACGTTTTCAATGATACGTTTGTGTTTCAACTTTTATTTTGACTTTGGACCACAGGTTCCAACACTGAAAATAACACGTTTTCTGCAACGTGAGTGTACAACGTGACCTATTTTGAATGCAGAATTTGGTTCCTTATTTGCGTAATGTGCGTAAGTGGTTTTGGTTACTCCCTTTTCTAAAAGTTTCCTCAATCATGGTTTGCAATTAAAGTGTATTAGATTTAAAAGCATTGTTGACAGATGACAAAGTTGGGTACATTTCCTTGTTCCGTGAATGTTACTTGACATTTATGGACATTGGTCATCTGCCCCTTATGGACCAGTGACTCTATGTATGTAAGTAAGTTAGTAAGTAAGTAAGTACTTAATTTATATAGCAGCGCATTTTTACAGAGCAAGATAGATATAAACTTTGTTGATCCTCGCAGGAGAAATCCAGGTGTGCAGGAACAGCAAAAACGCATCCATTCAGACAAACAAAACAAATAAATAGATAATTCTAAAAAGCTAACAATAGTAATAAGAAACAGCACTTCAGGCAGCAGAGGTGGGCGATCCGCTGAGGGTGGAGCAGGACAGGCCAGGTCACCCAAAGCACTTAATGTTCAGAGTTCAGAAGAAGTTTCATCCTCTCCACACACGATGAAGGAGGCGAGAAGCCGAACAAACTAGTGCATCAAATCCCCCAAACAACACCATCCATTCACTCATTGCATTCATACCTATTGTGTAGTGGTAGGTGAAATCGGCGCGAGATTGCCACCGTGTCGCCCTAAGGAGAGGTTCCGTAGGTCTTTCCTTCCTGCTGCTGTCAGACTGTACAATAAGAACTGCTGAGCCTGTAAATTTCAAATTTCATTCATTTGTAAATAAGTTAATTCTTAAATCATGTGCAATACTTCAACTTCAGAATGTCACAGAACAATGTCACTTTACTTATATACTTATTATCCTGCACTATTTAACTGTACAGTATATAACTGCACTACTACTACATATATATATATTTTGACTGGTATTGAAGCATTTTCAGCATCTACAGCTAGTTATGTTAGCTAAGAAACATAGCTACTACTTACTGTATTTGTATATATTGTGTGTGCTCCCTGTGTGCTCTTACTACTGTCCTATATGTGCGCTGCAACATCGAAATTTCCCCACTGTGGGACGAATAAAGGAATTCTTATCCTATTGTGTTCATTTTAATTGCATTTCTTGTGTTTGAATTGTTTGATTCTCTGGTCTGTGTTGGCGAATTTGACGGTTTTGTAAAGTCTTCGAGATGACCGCTGTTGTGATTTATGGCTGTTCAAAAATACATTGAATTGACTGTTTGTTTTCCCCCCCTAGCTTTCAGGTCGACCTGTCCAACGGTTGCAGCACAAAGCCGCGCTCAGACGTGGCGCTCTGCTTCAGGGCCCAGTTCAGCGGCCCACTATGTGTTTCCTGCAACACGCTTCAGAAGGAAAGTTGGGGCAAAGAGGAAACCATTCACCAGCTGCCCTTCAAACTAGGAGCCCCCTTTGAGGCACTTTTCTTCATTCACAAAAATGCCTTTAAGGTCAGTTACAACCTCATCTTCTGACTGTTGTGCTGCATGGTTCACGGTGAAATACTTTTCTTGCAGGTGGCGGTGAACGGCACGCACCTTCTAGAATACAAGCACAGAATGTCGCTGAACAGGATCGACACACTTTCCATCTCGGGAAATATTTGCGTCAGTGCAGTCGGTTACATCCCAAGTTCAGTAAGTTCCTCTTTCCTCCAAGTGACGTAACTGCACCACTTAAAACATTTATTCACCTATGGCTTTTTTGTTTTGTTTTAGGCAATATACTCCGAATCAGGTGATTTGGTGAGAGACTTGCCCCTATTTTTCACAGTAAAATCGTAGTCAAAACCATGAGTGTCTTGTGATCTTACTAAATTTGGGCTCAATAGTATCATTGTGTGGCTGGTTTTATTTTCTTTGCTGCTTATTAAAAATGAACAATATCCCAAAACAGCTTTCAAACTTTATGTGAATGTTAAGTCGTTATGGCCAAAAGTTGTGTGTTGAGAAAGAGGTTTTGTAACTCTTACCCCAGTATTGAAATGGATCTATATAACTAGGGCAAATAAGTTTCCGTTTACCGTGAAATGTTTTGATGACATGGAACTAGGTGTAGTCAAATACTTTATTCCTTGTTATAATCTTAGCTGCATCCAAGTGTGTTTCTTAGGAACATGTATACATATTTTTGTCTTCTATACCAGACATTAAATGTTATTTAATGATTTGATTGGACTACAACATTTATAACCAAGGCCAGTTTGGAAAATGAACTAATAAATGTTATGACCCAGCTCTGCTTGGGTAAGGGAGGTACCAAAAATACCCAAGACGTTATACAGAAAAGCTAGTAATATAATAACAGGAATGTAAATGATAAGTGATGTTATTCATCTCTACTTTTCTGACTTTTCAAGTTCCAATGCAATAAGACATACTGGAGTTATTGTTCAAACATTTCTAAATATTGTAGAGTCTCCCATACAAAGGCAGCATGTTGAATGGCCTTAGCCCCGGAGAGCACATCACAGTCAAAGGGCAGGTCTGCCTCTATCCTCACAGGTAAGCACACAGGTACTGCACACACGTTCAGGATTATTCATTCCATTAATCTCTTGTCATTACAGCTTCACCATAAATCTCCGAAGCAGTCAAAATGAAAACATTGCTCTACATTTAAACCCACGCATAAAGTCTTCTGTGTTTATAAGGAATTCCTTCTTGAGTGATAGCTGGGGGTATGAAGAGCGAGAGGTGTCGTTCTTTCCCTTCTCATCTGGGGAGTACTTTGAAGTAAGTGCAATTTTGTTTTCTGTGACACACCACACAATCTTTGGATAATTTAACACGAGAAACCTGCATTTTTCTTTGAAGATTCTGATCCTGTGTCAGCCCCATCAGTTTAAGGTGGCAGTGAATGGGTCACATTTATTTGACTTCAGACACAGAGTGCAGGACCTGAAAAGCATCGATCAGATGGAGATTATGGGAGATGTGGAGCTCATTGATGTCAAAGTCTGGTGATGTACATCTGCTGAGCCGCCTGGGACGACCCAGATCAAATCATGATTTCAATCTACAGCTGACAGTAACTGCCATGTCATGTGGAAAGGCAGGCATTTCAATGTCTAAAGCACTAGTAAAAACAATAGGTAGCTGAGTGCTGCGGTTATTTATTTAAAAGGTCAACACGTTGTAAAAAATGTACAGAAGTACTCATGTGTCCTGCTTTTTCTTCCCTGTTAAATTTGTAAAATGTGTTTTTCTTTAGTATTGTCATTAAAATATTAACTAATCAAGCGCATACATATACATCGTCTTTTCAGTAGTTTGTCCAATACGTTCCTCAAGCCACAAGGTGGCAGCAAAGACTTACTGCTGCTTGATAGACGATGCATGTCTCCCAGAGTCCAGACGTGTAAATACAGTCTGCAAAGTCTATACCACCCACAAGATTCATACTCTTATGATAAAAAGTTTATTAATATCCACAGGAAATACTTTTCAATTTTCTGTAATACCATCGAACAGTACAGTCTGGTTTTCTTACATAAACGTAGAAAAACCATGATATGCAATATCATGAAACCAATTATTGAAAGGCTGACTTGATAGTCCAGTTATGTGTCCTATCAACATGTTAACTTTTCAAACTGTACGCATCATGTTTTTCACAGAAAATGGCATTTTATCTCAAAAAGCATTGGCCCTCTTAAAGAATGTCCTTTGTGTGAATAAAAAGGTGTCGTCTGTGGGATAACTGTAGGTTTGTCTCCCAACCCCAGCAAAGGCAAAAGACTGGTGTGAGGGCATTAGCAGCAGAGTAAACCCCAGCGTTTAGAGTCCAGCTTGTGCTGTGGGCGTCCGTCTGTGGCACCAGGTAATGAGGGTTATGCCAGTGTCAGACTGAGCTGAGTTTAACTAGTCCTCTGACAGAGTCCTCGTGCAGAGAGTCCTGACTGGCAGGATTGTAGAAGCCCGCCTGCACCGTGGGGCTGTGGCCCATGGGGCTGTGGCCCATGGGGCTGCCACAGGGGAGCATGCCAGGCGGTGAGGGCATCTCCTCTGGTGTCAGGAAGTGGTGATGAACCATGGGCTCTTGAAGGGGGTGTGAGTGGTTATGCGGGTGTGGGTGTGTGTGGTTGTGGGCATGGGGGTGTGTGTGGGTGTGGATAGGCAACATGTCTACAACGTCGTGACAGCTAAGGCTTTGTGTGGACGTGGGAGGTGTGGGCTGCCCGAGGGGGAGTGAGGTACAGGGACCGCCCAGTGACAGCGCTGTTCGTCCGGCCAGGATTCCATTTTCCGGGGAGGCGGTCAGGATGACGGGCTCACTGCTTTGCTGCTGGAGGAGAGGGGTGGTGGCTGCCTGCAAAACGAATTTGGTGCTCTGAATGCACTGGTCTTGATCACACTGAGCAGAAAAAGAATAAAAGAGGAAAGGGAAAGGATTGTGTGCAAGACAAAGAAGAAAAGGCAAGGGGAGAGAAAAGAAACCAGATGTTAGTATTATTGTTAAGTCCATAACCACAGCAGAAAGAACCATAGCCGCTCGTGCATCTGCCCCAGAAACAGCAGCCCAGTCAATGCAAACACAGCTCTCCAGTCTGCGCTTCATGGCCCATCGATCTGCATTGTATCCCAACTAAGTCCCACATACAAGTGGAGCATGCTAAATGGGTTAGGGCGCGTTGCATTATCAATACCATACAATAGCTCCAGGCAGATGAGCTCAAACTTAGTTAGGCTCCCCACAAACACATGTGCAGAGGTGACAGTGGTAAAAATACACTGCACCAACAGCAGTTTGAGAGTGTCCCCGCCACAGCCTCAATGTGAGCGTTTAAGTCATTCTTCCCAGAGCCTCACCTTTCATTCTCACTTTCACTGACCTGGAAAAGTACAAGTATGGTTACGATTTAAGTCACTTGCAATTGACCCCTACTTTTATTTAAACTGCCAACATGTCTACACTTGCACATTGAATTCTTTTGCATTTTCACTTAATCTTGAGTTCAGAGTCTGTAGAGGCAAAGATTTTCAGTGTAGTGTCAGACTGTGACAAAAATGTTTGTTCTTTAATGTGACTTCCAACCCACTCAGGTTCTGACTCGGCTCATTTATAAAACCAATCGGCCCACGCACTCTTAAAGGAGCAGTGTTGATCTATGGTATTTAGATGAGGCTATATCTTCAATATAACTGTGTTGAAATCACAAATGACACTTAATAGAATCTTAGAAAATAATTATTATTATCTAGAAATAATTATTGGCAGTGGTTGAAAATATTGGCAATGTGCTTTGTGGATTGGATGGTGTTTGCAGCACTTTGCTTCACGATTTCCAAACTGAAGGAGGTGCTAAGAGTCTAATAACGATTATTCTGTAACGCAAAGCAAGTCCTTTAAAAGAGGCAGAATGTTAGCTACACCGAGTAAGTCAAAAAGCATGTCATAACAGTGTTCCCACTTTGTTATCCTGCCGTTTTAAATATAGAACCATGCAAGTTTAAGCAATTCTGCATTAATCTTTCATTATTTCGAACATACTTGCGCAGGTACTATTTGGGCTCAAACATTTAAAGATATTTCTACACAGTGAAAAGGGGAGGAGCTTCACTGTTCTGCACTTTGGAACAGGAAGTCAATGAACCCCTTTCCACGCTGACTATAATATAATACATCCATAACTATGACACGTTACAACTTACAATATGTTTCTTGTTGTTTTATTCCATGTTCTGTGTTGTTGTTTATTCCTAAGCATATATGCGTCCTCAAGCGTCCTAACAGTTTCATCATTTCTTACTTGCACTTGTCCACGCCATGTATCCACAACATTGACACCTGGAAAAGTTCTTATATTTGTACAGATGGTCATTTCTTTTGATTAGTAGGACCTGGACCTGTGTGTTTTGCTAAAAATACAAACGATAAAACTGACATTGTGTCCATGGCGATACATGTATTCGACTTGAATCCTTATCTCCTAGATTTACATACATGGTTATCCCTTCCCTTCAAACTGAATCATTTAGACGTGTGCCTTTCCCATCGGCCCCTCGGCGTGCTCAGAGCTCAGGTAAACGGTGGCAGTAGGCACGAGATAAAACAGATGGCGGTTATTTGTAAATGTGCTGATGTAAGGAGAGGTGCAGACCTAGGTACGTGTCAGACATACTGTGCTGTGCGTAAGCGCCGTGAGATCAGCTGCAGCGAGTGTTGAGTGAGTAAAACTACAACCAGACCCCCGGCCCTTCTGTCTAAACGCTCCCATCTCAAACTCCATTTATGGCACACTTTCAGGCTATGACTCTTTTCTGCCTTTTGAAACAAGTCTTTAGTTTAACATGGGAATCTCCAGTCAAATGACATTCCCGCTTCTATGAGAAAGACAGGGGCCGTATGTATTATCTTGTACATGTGTCCGAGAGCAGAATGAGGTCCCTCATTTGGATTGCTGGTTTTTTAAGTAAAAATTAGCTGCACTATAAGCACTCTACAATTGATTAATATGTTCCAATGAAATAAGATACAAAAATAAGTAGTCATATGTAATACAGAGTTTGTACAGTCTATACCTAGCTAAACTCCAGCAGGTGGCTTAAATCAGTAATGTCTCAGTCAGGAAGATGGGAAGATTCTGGCAAGAGTGTGATTGTAACAATAATGACTTTATTAGACCTACATACTAGAGTACAGACTACATACTGCCCCTTAAAGTGATAGTCTGTAACTCTAAATGAATTACAAATTTTAGAAAATGTGTTAAATTGACCTCCTGGCCTTAAATGTTGATATAAAGTAAGTCATTTTATTAATTCCAATATTACGGGCAAGTCCCGCCTTCCCTGCTCTTAGCTATATTTCAGAATCCACGGTGCCGTCGAGGTTAACCAATGGAGTCATGCCAAGGGATGTCAATCATCGGCGCTGATGCTTGCAGCTGCGGGCATGCTCAGTTGTTTGTTTTCGCGGAGCCTCTATTAGGCTCTGGAACTACATGAAAACTGAACAAAGAATTCTGAACATCCGCGCTGAGGTACTTATGTATATACTGAACCTATCATAATCAGATCCTCTGCAGATGTGTCCTATAATGTGCAATTCATAATAATAGCACTTCCTGGTTTGCCACGATCGCTTTTTTGTGTGCATAAAAACATTTTTTTTCATTAAAACGTTCACAAATAATTCTGAAAACCTCCGTGCATGTGTATTAATAATGTATATGTATAATCAGAGAACATATTAACATTTCAAAGTGTTACGGAAACGTAGGTGTAGTCCAATCAGAAAGGAAGGGGGAGGGAGCTTGCGTCGTTTTTTTCAAATCAAGTACGTCTCTGTCTCTCTGATAAACTCCAGACAATCACTTTAAATGCGTTTCATTACTCCATTATTCATGTAGATCTATTTGTTTTTCACTCAAATAATTTGGTTTAAGAGCCCTAAACAATACAAATTATGCATAATATCTGTTCTTTAAATATTCGACAGTGGACTTGACCACTAATTGCACTAATTTGCCCTGCACTTGTTATGGCCTGACAGTGACACGGGGGAGTGCACAGTGTAGCCCTCACCATGTGGCTCTGCTGGGACTGCGTGGATCCGTACATGGGGATGCCATTGGCCGGTGGCGCGATCTGCGGGACGCCTGATTGGATGAAGCCGCGTCTGTCGATGAGACTGCGGGAGACGGGAAGAAGTCAAAGAAAAACGTGTCAAGAGAAACAATAACCAGCTTTTCATTCATTTTATATGAAAACTAAATGGAATGCCCAAAAGAACAGAGGGCAGAGGTGGCCAACATGAAGACAAGAAATGTTATTAGTATTGGCTAATAATATCCAAGCCATTCTATGCCAATCCAAATGAAATGGCTTAAAGCTGGGGTGCCCAACTTTTTACAGTCTAAAAAAGCTAATCTAAAAAGATTAAAAAGATTTCACATGCTTGTGAAATCTAGTCATAGATTCAAGCTTTGGAGCGAGGAACTACTTAGAGGAATTTTATTGCATAGTTCCATTTGTTTGTGGTTTGAAGATTAGGCATGCCTTTAAAATTTGTGCCGTAGGATCGGTCGTAAAGTTGACCACAAAATTGCAGCAAATAAATGCTCATACGTCCATGGCGACCACATGATAAATCATTACCATAAAGTTTACATAACTATTTTAGCTCTCAATTCAATTATTCAATCAGAAAGCAGATTTAATACCCCCGGCTTCTAATGAGTTCGGTCGATGATGTTTACAATACAAAGTTTAAGCTAAACATTACAGATGTCACTGACAAATGATCAAATGTTCCATCTAAAGTCATAAAGGTGTAAGACTGGGTAAGACACTGTGTGGATCAGATGTGAGACTGAGGCAGTGGGTTTGCGGGGTACAGGCAGCCTCTCTCACTCCTGCACCCAGCTGTGAGACGCCTGTGGCTGGCCACAAACATAATAAACAGACAGAGTCCAGATGGTGGCCACCTGCGTGTCTGGACTCTCCTCTGTGAACCACTCTTCATCACTGCTCAGCTGTGGCTGTGGTCGCATAAGCACAGAGCACTTCACAAATATTAAACATCACAGCTAAATACCACAATCTGGAAACGGTCTTAAAAATCTTTTTCTGTCTGATAGTGCACTTGAATCTCTCACAAGCACAAAGAGTCTCTCTGAACTCTTAAATCACATGAATGGCACAAGTGTAAAATCTAATATATCTCAAACTGTGATCTCGACTTTAGTTCAAATGAGCTTGAAATGGTCTTTCTGCAGTGTCTTATGTACAGAGCCAAAGCTGGAGGCTTCATTTCAAACAGCTCTGAACATCAAAAGGATTCTATTGAATAGTCAGGATCACTAGGGAGATTCCTCATTTCTACATTCTGCACATTGTGTCCAGCAGAGTGTGTGTACTATACCTGGGAGGCAGGGGTCCACACAGAGCCGCACAGCAGTTGGTGACAATATTTCCGTAACTGTAGGGATTGTAGTTGTCCTTCCCCCTTTTAGAAGACCACGAGCCTTTTATCTGGACAAACAAGACTCAAATAAATATGTCATGCTCTGACTGTTATGTGCTTGTGCAGATACTTACATCTTCATTAGTGGTCTGGTTTGAGCTGATCAAGTAGGTATGGAAGCCTGAGAGGCCCACTATAGACCAGACGGAGAAAAAACACACCACCACCTCCAGCACAGTGACAGCAACAGTTAAGGACTCTATGGTTTCCTTTTTTTCAAACAAACAAACCATTATTTTGTCTTTCTGCTGCGCCACAGAGAGCAGACTGGGACTCTTGCTGGTTTTTGCACACTGACCTACAGCCTGAGGTTGCTCGGCTGTTACCAATAGTTGTGTTACCAGTTCATTTGTCGGGAACAACTGAGCATCACTCACGTTTTCTGCACCACATAAAGAACACAAAAGCGGTGGAGATGCTCGGCTTTCGTGTGCATTTGATCTCATGTAATACAACATGAAAGAAGCATCCACAACAGTGCATTATACTGTATGAAATAAGTGAGATTTTCCTGAAACTCATTTTAAGATGACCTTGCATTACAGTGAAGAAGCTGGTGTCGCAGAAGCTCGTGGATCAATATGGTTTGTCCAAGTCTTGTGTCTCTGTAATGACTCCAGAACAGACAACATTGTTATCAGTGGGGCCTGGCAGAGAAAGTCATCTCACTCAGCGCTGGAGCGTGACAGGCAGTGTCACGGCCCTGCTCCCAACACTCTGAGCGTTTCAAAGAACAGGCGCTGTTGTCAGACTTGAATTTCAAGACAATCGACATCAACAGTTCAACTAATTGTTTCTAAAGAAGTTTAACAAATGTTATGTCGCACAATTATGAAAATGGACAACGTCTACAGCAACAAATGATAGAATACAAGTTCATAATTACTGAAATTGAGTTCATTTTGACCATCTTCAAACTAGATTTGTTTTCTCATTCCAAGGGACACATTACATGTATTTTTTTAAAAAACAAGCTCATACTTGCTTGTCTCATTGAAATTTTTGATTTATGTTTCAACACTTTTTGCAGTGTAGCTACATAGAAACCGTATTAGAACAATATGAGAAGGATATCTGGCTGGACTCTCTTTGAGTGCGCTGAGAAAACCACTGCGGTGTGACTCTGGAAACACAAGGACAAACAGGGTCATTTCTACACACTGCACACAGATGAAGAAGACCTGAGTAAAGGGCAGGTCTGACCACCACAAACTGGAAAATACTGGACCAAAAGCAGCTGCAACAAACTTTAGTTTAAGTTTAACCCTCAACAACAGAAACCCTGAACTGGGTCTTAAATCATCCAGAACAACAGTGAACCTGTGCTTTCAACAGTTTCTATTGACCTTTTGTCTGCAGCAGAGTAGCTTCAACAGTTTAGATCAGCGGTGCCAAGCCATGGGGTCATTTTCAATAATGCTTTTTTGCCAAATGTTTAAATTACCATCTGCAACCACAAAAATACTTTTGTTTGAGAAGGAAGACAGGGGCTTGGAGTGTGATGTCTTAGTGGCACAATGACAGAAGGGGGAGTTACATGTCTGATGAGGTAACATGGTTAAAAAGGTCAAAATGGTGAATTTGTGTCATATGGCTCCCTCAATTTATTAACCTAAAGATTTTTTTTCTTCTTTTTTTTCAAGGAATGTATGACTGCTGAATTATTGCAGTATTTTGTTGCATTACAGTGAGAATATGGAGCAGAAATGAATAAATAAAAGATAAAAACTTGTATATTCTAAAACATACACTAAAATAAGTAAAATATCGATTAATCTACAGTGAAACAGAAGTCTTCCATTATCGTCAGATTTCATTACAGTCAGATCTAATTGCGAGTCGCTGCTGGAGAGATCGGAACGAGCCAGAACACTGTGGCTTTTGCACAACACCAATTTACAACATGCAGCTTTCAAGACTCCAAGAACAAAACTAAAAGCGGCTCTATGCAAAAAGCTGATCTTACCTAAAATGATGTGTGTGATGACGAAGGAGAAGATGAAGATGGTGAGGAATGACAGCGAGAGGATGAACATGTAGAAGAAGCGGTAGTTTCTTCTTCCAACGCAGTTCCCCACCCAGGGGCAGTGGTGGTCGAAGCGCTCTGCAAGACAACACATAACAGAAACTATTTTATGATTGGCATAGAAATATATTGTTATTTATTAAACACAATTTTGAATCAAGTAAAACAGCTTATTTCACGTTTTTTCCCCCATTTAAAACAAATAAATAGTATACCTGTTTATAGACTATTTTGTTGTTCCAGATATATTAACTAGTAAAATAATGCTGTAAATCTATTCTCTGTCGGATACTTTTGCCTTGAATTCGTTTTCTGACAGTTGCAGAGAACCCGAATTCTTCATAATGCCATATGGAAGTCACAAAACTAGAGGTAAGAAACACTTATTCTAATTGTCAAGAAGAAAAAGTCCTTTGGCTATATATTCAATTCATCTTTATTACAGACTAGGTCCAATTCAAAATTAAATATACTGTAAAACCACTGTATCTTTATGGTTAGGACCATATCGGTAAAGTAAAAAAAAATGACACTGGTCAGATGGGGAATTTGGAATCAACAATTATTTCAACATAGCTGCTATGGCACATAATTAGGATAAAATGGAAAGGAAAAAGAAGAGTTAGTGAAAAGTGTATTATTCCGCTTCCTCAGCGGCCCTGCACTTGTTAATCCATGGATTGCTTCGCAAGAAGAGGGCTTTTTGAAGTGGTGGCTTTGGCCTTGCAGAAAACACAAGATTGCTCTCTGCCACACTCCTTCACTAATTATTCACAGCCTTGTGTTTAAAGACGTGAAGCAACCTACTTTTGTCTTCACTAATCAATACTTCGCTCAAATGGCCTGGGATTGTGTAGTGGTGAGGCACCGAGGGACCCACTTCTGGTTTCAGAGAATGTTTGATCAAAAAGTCTGAAAGATGCATTTTAAAACTGTTGAAATAGGGCTGATGATGACAATGAGGGCACTTTCACGCTAATGGATCAAGTGGACGAGGTTTACTTCAGAAGCAAATACAGTCACAACTCTGTTTTGAAAGTCTGGCTTAAAGCTGGGGTACACAACTTTCAAACCAAATGAAATTGAACTCTGTAATACAATTCATCTAACCAATCCCTGGCTATAATACAGTTGGTTCTCTTACAAGTTTTCACATGCATGTAGCTTCTCCGTCACATTTTTGCTCTTTACGACATAAACGTGAAAAAAGTGGACCACCCTCACTCAGATCCCAGCCCAAAGACTCAAACAGTGACTATTTTTGAGTAAGGAAGCAAAAGATATTCTAAAAAGTTGATTAGACTCTACAGAAACAGGCGAGTGGACCAGTGTGCAGTATTATCACACCCCCAACAAAGTGGGGCATTTTTTGCCACAATCTTACAAAAGAATAAGATTTGTTCCAATTAAAGTGAACCGCTTCAGCAGAGATGGGCTGTGGACGCACTCCAGAGAGGACAGGTCTAATGGCGAGCAGAGAGAGGGTTGAAAAGGTGCTCATATCATCTCTGCAGTTATGTTTCTTTCTCCCCGTTCCAACAGACTGTATCTAGCTGGCTCAGTCCACATAGTAAAATATGCAGGAAGTGAAAGTGTGCCTTGTCTGAGCACTTCTCTTTTAAAGGCGTCTTCTATTGCTCCCAGTGGAATTGCACACTTAAGAAAGGAAGGCGTATCCATTGTGGCTGTTTACTTATTTAACAGGTTGTTGCTACAGACCTGCAGAAGAGGGAATGAGTCAAGGTTTTACTAATGATACATTTGTAATTAGAGGCAGTTTGCGCCATAACGTAGTAAAGATAGGATTGTGTTGAACATTTTAAGAACATCTTTGCAAAATAAATGTGCCAATATTGATTCTCTCAAAGCACCATCTGTGTGTGCTTCACTCGCAGAAGGGTGCCATCATTGTTTGGATCAGCACGGCTATTTTTGATGTTGATTAGACCAGGCTTTTTTATTGGCTTGCAGCTTTTTTGTAATCAATTTCAAACCACACACGCCAATGCCACATCCAGTGTAGTGCTACTGTTATTACTTGACCAAATTTAAATTAAATAAATGAGCAAAATGTTGTTTTTGGTCTCTTTTGGTAAGTAAAACATGTGTGAACTAATCAAAACAACTGAGTGTGTAAATTACAATGAAGAACATCTGTAACATGGTCATTTTTCATGCAATGCCCACTTGGATGTAGATAATTAGGGATGTTGGCCTTTTTAACTACAATCGGTAAATAAAAATGACATTGGCCGAAGGTAGGCACGTGCGAAGAGGTAGGTAGAGGTAGATGGAGATGGCGGTGGTCGTCTGACAATATTTTACAGTTTTAGAAAAAGATCAGAGAAATGCAGTTTGCACGTGTCCAGAGAGATTTCAAGAGGGGGGACTGCTCAAAAATCATTTACCACAAAGAATTTCACTGGACATTTGAGAAGCATGAGGCAGCATACAGTGAAGAAGGCGTGCAAGCTGAAGAAAAAACAGAAGCCACCAAGATATGAACATAACAAAAATAAAAACATCGGTCATTGGCAAAGTTATGTTAAACATCAATATCAGCCAATAAACTATGCATCCCTAAACATACCGATTCAAAATGTCCCAGCACTCACCTACGCAGTTGTCACAGAGGCTGCAGTGGGAGGCACGAGGCGGCCTGAAGATTTTGCAGGTGAAGCAGTACTTGAGTTTCACCGTCTGTCCGTTGATGACCACCTCTTTGGTCCGGGGCGGCGGTCTGTAGCCAGTGGTGCCATTGGCCACGTCTGGAGCAGAGAGGTAAAAGTTAGTATGTATAGGTACAATAACAGCAATGGAACAAACTGTCTGGATTTAATACACACACAATTCAAGAACTAAAGCCTGGAATACACCAGAGGTTCATTTTTGAGTAAAAATTTAAGCCACTGGGCGACGGGTCAGTGATAACACTGGGTAACAAAAAAATATTTTAGAAAATAGTCCAGGGTTTTTCAGCTGAATGTGACTAATTTTGGTTTTGCTCAATCAGGTCAGGATTTTTTGCTACAGAAATATGTTTTTAAATTGATTTTGCGTAAAAAACAAATTTCTGCGGATCATCAGCTGAGACGTTTTTTCTGTTTTCCTCAAGAAATAAAAGGTCAACGTATCCAAAGTCATTCAGTTTTTATTTACTCCATCAAATTTGATAAGCAGAATTCATAATAACGTAGACGTACATAATCCGTAACACTATGGCTGTATCTCAAAAAGTTGACCTGATGCATGTGATATTCGGACTCAGAACACCAACATTAGTCTAAATCAGTTGAGAAACCCCTGACCATTTTTTGGCTGTCAACTTGTGTAATGGGTACCCAAAAACCTAATATTGCTTCAACAACAGCCAATGGAACAGGGAGGAGCATTACACAGGACATAGAAATATTGTAAAGTGCTGCGAAAAGTGCAATATCATTTTTTCAGGTTCATAAAGGATTCACTTGTTTGACATAAAGAGATACATATTTTCCTGATTTTCAGATGAGAGCAGCAGTTTTTAACATAACATAATAGTTCATATCCACTGGAATCACTTATATATTTTGAATCTGGTAGTGTTTGAAAGGAGTCTGAATAAAATGTAGAATCTTGGGGGGCTGACGATGAATAAGGAAGTATTGGACTGGCTTCTTGTTCAAAATAAAAAGCATTCAAAATACCTCTTTGAAAAGGAACAAATCAAAAACAAAATCTTTATGACATTTCTTGGAGCAAAGCAGTAGCTCTTTATCATTTTGTGAGGCGTTTTTCATTGGCAGGGAGTCAGTCAATAATAAACCTAATAAACTAACGTAAGTGAAGTTGCAATGATGAGTTTTGAAGAAGCAGTTCAGTCAGAGCCGGTGTGGACAGAGACGGTCTCTGGGAGATCATTTAAACAGGAGTCCATTGACAGAGCTGCTGTTAGTACTGAGAGGAGTGAGAGGAGTGTGACATTTCCAACGCAGTCAGTTCAGCTGTATTCAATTTGTGCTCTCCTCTTTCCTGGATTTGGGGAGGACGGAGAGCAGGGGGGAAGTAGGACAGCGGAATGTTTCAAAAATATTGATCATATATACTATTAAAAAGGTTTCACAAGATATTTTGATTAGATAATATTATTTAAACCATTATTTAAACTACTACTATTATTATTTAAACGTCACAAGTGTCTAATGTGACGTATCTATCACAATAGAAACGTGTTCGATACCAATAAAAAAGTTTAACTTCACTCAGTTAGAAATAACAGGAAGAAAACACAGGCAGTAAAGCCGAGTCATAAGCGCGCGGCATTCTGAGGGACGTAGGCAGAGGCTTCTCAACCTACCAAGGCATTCTGGGAAATGCACAAAAAACAAACCACCGCAACCGTGCATAGCGTCCATGGATCTATAGATTGTGTTTCAATGCTGTGTCAATGGTTATGCACGTCCGTGCAAGGAATAGCATGTGCGGCGCGGCAGAGGCAGTGGGTACAGAGACTTAATGCATGCGGCAAAAGTAAGAGGTGAACTTTATCCTCTGGAAGCACGTGCGGCTATCAGAGAGCCGCATGGAGCCGGCTCTCAACAGGAGCTATATCAGGACTAAACCGGGATTAAACCAGGACTAACAATGGGGGACACTGTGCTTGTGAACATATATCTCCAGCCTGAGCTCTCATTCCCTCGTGACTATAAACAAGGGCTGCTAACGTGCGTTAGCCTTCACAAATCAATTATAATCGATATCGACCAATATGAATATATCAACATATTAGCCATAGAACTAACAAATGCGGTTTTTAGCTTAATTTGAGTAAATTCTGACTGTTTAAGATTTGCCAACAGGACAAAGCAATTTAGTCTACTTTCAAGAACTGTTTGCTTAATTTTCTCATTCCAAGGGAGACATGTCTTGATTAAAAACAAGATCAATTTGCTTGTCCCTTTGGCAGATCTTGTCAAAAATCAAAATTTTCTAAAATTAAGATGAATTTTTCCTAATTTGAGCAATTTTTGACATATTTTTCCTCACTTTTGCAGTGTGTGCAGAGGTTGATTTGAGTTGAGTTTGAATGGATGGAACTTTATAATTTAAACAAAATCTCTCTTAGGACCATGACGTAAGGCCCAAAAAAGAGCAGATGTCATGTTGCACCGTTTCTCTCACACAAACACACACGCACGCATGCGCACACCTAAATATGAATGTTCAAAGTCAGCCAAACACGAGGAGGATCCTGGGGGGATAAAGGGGAACTAATTGCCTTCCTGCTGCGAGTGAGGAGGAGAGTAAACCAGCACCTTTGCAGCGGATGGAGACTACACAGAGATTAAAGGAAAAACACTGTACAACTTTGCAACAAAACTCTACAACCAAAACTACAGCTTACAAAGAATAATAGAACAAACAAATTCAGGTTTTATGTATTTTTATGTTCAAAATTATTTGTACAGTCTGCTAGTTTATTAAGATTTCATCCATCTTTTTCTTCTGCTTCATCTGTTCCTGGGTCGCGGGGGCAGTAGTCTAAGCATAGACGCCCAGACTTCCCTATCCACACACACTTCCTCCAGCTCATCCAGGGGACCCCAAGGCATTCCCAGGCCAGCTAAGAGACATAGTCCCTCCAGTGTGTCCTGGGTCTTCCCTGGTCTCCTCCCGGTGGGACGTGCCTGGAACACCTCCCCAGGGAGGCGTCCGGAACAGATGCCCGAGCCACCTCCACTGGTTCCTCTCGACGTGGAGAAGCAGCGGCTCTACTCCAAGCTCCTCCCGTGTGATTGAGCTCCTCACCCTATCTCTAAGGAAGTGCCCAGCCACTCTGCGGAGGAAGATCATTTCGACTGCGTGTATATCCGTGATCTCATTCTTTCAGTCATTACCCAAAGCTCATGACCATAGGAAAGGGAGGGAACGAAGATTGACCGGTAAATCGAGAGCTTTGCCTTTCGGCTCAGCTCCTTACCACAACGGTCTGAAACAGCGAGCGCATCACTGCGCATGCTGCACCGATTCGCCTGTCAATCACACGCTCCATCCATTGCAAACAAGACCCTGAGATGCTCCTCGACTCGCAAACAGCAGATATGAAATCCCCTCCAGCCCCTGGCTGCACCAATTAATTCTGTCCATAAAGACAGTTAACAGAACCGGTGACAAAGGGCAGCCATGGGAGAGGCAGACATGCACCGGGAACAGGTCCTGACTAACTGCCGGCAATGCGAACGCAGCTCTGACTCCGGTCAAAAAGGACCCTCAGCAGAGGACCTTACACCTTAGGCACCATTGTTAGGTACAAGAAAAGCTTTTGTATAAATAATAAATACTGGCTTTGTGCAGAGCCATAATCAGGGCTATGAGTCATTGTTCCTCTGAGTGTTCCTCTGGGCGGCACGGTGGCTGAGTGGATAGCACTCTCGCCTCTCAGCAAGAAGGTCCTGGGTTCAAATCCCGGCCGGACCAGGGCCTTTCTGAGTGGAGTTTGCATGTTCTCCCCATGTCTGCGTAGGTTTCCTCCGGGTACTCCGGTTTCCCCTACCACTAAAAATATGTCCAATAGTTCTAGCATGCGCCTCCTGTACTGGCCCCGCTCCCATCTCTGTGTGGAGTGAGAGACAAATGCCCAAAATTAACAATTGTAAACCGCTTTGAGACTCAGATCTGCAGTGATAAGGCGGTATATAAATAAAAACTTACTAACTTACTTACTTACTTACTGAGTCAGTAGCTCCATCCTACACATATTTTTTTCAGTATGAGCAAACAAACATTACAAATAAGTTGTAAATACTTATTTCAAATCATTATTTAAGCATTACTGGCCCTCAATGTGGTACTGTATAAAACACATTCAAAATCTACAAAGATAAGACATGAATCTTTCTCCAGTCTATTTTGCCTCAAACTAAATTTCTGGGGTCAGTGACGACCTGCAACATGTGCGGCCATGGTCTTTTACACCTCATTTTAAGACTTTTCAGAGGAAAATATTAATTTAGTTCTAACCAAAGAAATTATTGAATTAATTTTGCTCAGAAAAACAACTTTCTAAGAATAATTTGCTCAAACTAGGAAAAGATTAGCCTGGCCATAGCCATCCGTACACTCCGCTCAATCATCATTTCACTGCATGTAGCGTCTGGGTCTGGTCCCTGTGTTAGCGAATACAATCGGTCGTATTTCGACCGGCTACTCAGAGAGCGCGGGAGGCGGGTGTTGTAGGTCGGTGCCGGTGACGTCAAGAGTTTGCGCCGAACGGGCAGGTTGTAGTTTGGCAATGGCGAAGAATGCGATAGTAAAGTAATCCGGTCTGGTTCTATCAAGAAATTGAAGCAGGAGCAAGAAGAATGTTTAGCAAATGTAATCGTTGGTCAAGATTGAGGCGCTACTCCCCACGGGCTCCGTTAGCAGCAAAGGAGATGGCTAGGCTAAATGCTAAATGCTAACAACAGACTCGGGCGCACTACATACGTCAAGGTAAACTCAGATCCAATCGTTTCAATCTGCAAAAGGAGTTAACCCCTCCCACCTGTAAACGGAGCTCAATGGAGCAAATCCAGACCTTAATTTGTTGGCATCTATATTTTCTTTTGTTATTGTTAGTTACATTTGATAACTGAGTAAGTTCCCACTTTTAATTTAATGTAAAAACTGAAAACTAAATTCTCTGTTGAATTAGTCAATATAAACTTGGTCAAAATCAAGCCCCGGCGATTCAAGATGGCGCCCTATTCAAATGAATGGTTGTGCTCAGTGGCGCTTTGTGACGGCATGGGGGCTGAAAAGATTAGCGGAAGTTGCCTGAAACTCGCAAAGATCTATGGGAAACTCGCAAAGAACTTTGGGAAACTCGCAAAGATCTATGGGAAACTCGCAAAGATCTATGGGACACTCGCAAAGATCTATGGGAAACTCGCCTGTATTTGGGCATCGTCTGGTCCTCCCGGTTCTGTGCAGTGGATGATCTCCCATAATGCGTTGCGCCAAACACGCGTGTGTGGGTCTCACACCGGGTCTCACGCACGTGCACAGAGGGGCTCGGCTGCGCTCTGACCAATCAGAGCAGTTCATCAGAGCGGGAGTTAGAGCGAGAGCCAGAGGAGCAGAGTTTGTGGCACTAAAGTGTGGATTTAAACAAAACCGAAGGATTTAAGAAGAAAAAAAGTTCAGGATGACAAGGGACACTAAAATCCCCACAAAATACTATCTTTATTAAAGCTGTAGGTTCTCTGTCAGCTGAGGTCGAGCTGTTTTAATATGCATTGAGTTCTATGGGGAAAATTTCTGGGTATCCCACGTGAATTTAGTCTGGTTTAGTCTGCAGTACCGCGAGAATCCCCTGAGCACATGAATTATTCAGCTACAAGCTAGTAATACCCTATCCAGTTAATATAATAGATCCATGGTCAAAATACATAAAAATAAACATAGAAAAACAAAATGAAGGAAAGGCAAGCTGAAACAGGTGGGTTAGAAGTGATTGGCGTTTGTACCAATAAAAAATGTGTGAAAATAATGTGGGTACTTCACCACCTTACCAATAGCAGCTAATGCCGGTCATTTGTAATTGAAGTGAAAGAAGAAGAAAAAACTTTGTGGGGGTCACTGAAAATGAAGAGAGTAGATGATTGACATAAAACTAGACAAAGGACATGAGAGGAGGGATCTAAAACGAGAGTGAAAAATGTTGTCCATCAGCATCATGATCACCCGAGATGCTCCAGGATGCGTCTGATTCCTCCATGTCCATGTTTGCATTCACAGACGCCCACTCTTCATCACACTCTGCTCTGAGTCATCCGCTCAGTTTACAGCACTCCGACAGACACACAAAATAATGTTCTGAATGTGGAACTGGATTCAAGACCCATGTCGTTTGCTCTGAACTAGATACAAAAGCTCTCAGTGGCTCCAGAATGCTTGGCCTTTTTGTCTGGGAGCTTTAAAACGACACCAAAGAGCCCAGAAGTAATTAATAAAACATATTCATATTCATCTCCCTCCTTCATCCACTTCAACTAAAAACATATTGAGCTCAGGGCAACAAAACAACCCAGTAATAATAATCATTTGCCCGTAAGCAAACATTCCAATTGAGAGGCAGTCTGCTATGCTAATGCTAGTCCCAAGCACAAGAGCTGGAGGAGGCAGGACAGCTGGTATTTGGATCAACGCTGTTCATATTTGCAGCCTGTAATTTGTTTACCCTCATCACAGACACTTGCCAATAAAAGATCTTCGGCACAATGTTGATGAGTATTCAATTTTTCTCCTAAATCCTCTAATGAGATTAATTAATCCAGCTCAGCCCTCGTTTAATGACCTGATCTAAAGCACAGAAAGCAAGAGGAAATTATTCTTACAAAAGGGAGCCATGCATGTGATGTTTTAAACCAAAAAGAAACTGATAACCTGAACCTACTTTGAACTGTTTTAAAGAAGTTTTCCAATTGAATTTGATTTGATATGGAAATGAAAGACTGCACGTATACATTTGTTTATGTAACAGATGATAGTCCAAGCTTTTTTGACATTTAAAGTGTCCAAAAAGAGTCAGTATTCACAGACATACAGTATGACCTGCTGAAAGTAAATTGTTGCGGACAAATAAGACCACAGTGAGTTTTAATTTTATTAGACTTTTTGTAATCTTTTGCATGCTCAAGAGGTTCTGTATAAGTCACTATTTGATGCTTTGGACTGAGACCTGCTGATAAGTTGCTGAGAGTAAGTCTGAAAAGGCTGATCTGAAGATGTGACAGAGGCCAAAAATTCACCTAAGGGAAAACTAGTGGAAGAACCAAACCGTTTAGAACAAGGAACTCGATGACATTGATTTGTATTACATGGGTAACATTAAAGTGGTTTGAAGGTTTACTCTGGCGACAGTGGCTCAGTTAGTAGAGGGTCTCTGAACCTAATGGTTGTAGGTAGGCCTGTCGCGATATTCAATAAATCAATTAATTGCATGATAATTAAAATTAGCTCGATAATTTTCCTGGCCGTAATAAATTCCATTTGCATGCTTGTCTGTTTTCCCGTCTCTCTCCCTCTCTCTCGGGTCAGAGAGCCCCAAAGTAGCCACGGGAACATTAGTGGTCTAGCAAGCAGACTGAAATAACTCAAAAATACAAAATACAGCCAAAACAGGACCTAAACCAGGACTTAACCAGGACTTAACCAGGATTGACAATGGGGGACACAGTAGTTGTTCTCATTCAGGCTCTAGTAGTGACTAAACTAGCGCAACTAGCGTTAGCGTATTTGCCGATGCGGAAGTACCGTTTAATAATTAAATAAACTTATGACGCACCTCCGTGAACAAATACTGCTGTTATATAAAGTCTCTAGAAGGTCTCTGGACAAAGGGACGCTGCAGAGCTGCATTATTGGCAAGAAATTTACACAAAAAGCCGCTAGCATGATGCTAACGGAGTAAAGAGAGGGGCGACAGTAGCTCAGTTGGTAGAGCATTGGCCTTTGAGCCAGAGGGTCGTGGGTTCGAGCCCAACTTTCACCATCGACTACCACTGATGTCTGCGGTCGTTGTGTCCTTGGCAAGACAATTAACATCTGGGAACACCAGGTGCCACAGTGGGGCGGCTGCAGCTGTAAAGTGCCAAACTGATGTTGTGTCCTTAGGCAAGACACTTCTCCCACATTGCCTAGAATGAGTCTGGTGTGTGTGTGAATGGTTGGTGGTGGTCGGAGGGGCCGATAGCACATACTGGTTGCCTCGCTTCTGTCAGTGTGCCCCAGGGCAGCTGTGGCTACAGTAGTAGTTTATCACCACCGTGTATGGAGTGAATGAATAATGACATGTAAAGCGTCTTTGCGTGTCCAAAAAAGCGCTGTATAAAACCGATGTATTATTTTTTTTATTTTTTTTTTCATTCTGCCACTTCCGGCGGTGGTCTTTAAAAATAAAAGTGTATTTCTCTTTGAAAAGGTGTACCTGCATCATTATCATTGTATTAGATGAAAAGGATCTCAGAACGACAATATTATCGCTTATCGCAATAATTTCTGAGACAATTAATCATCCAGCAAAATTTGTAATCGTGACAGGCCTAGTTGTGGGTTTGACATATGTCATCTGTTCCCACTGAAGTCTGCTGTTGTTGTGTCCTTGGGCAAGACAGTTGACCCCACCTTTCAAAAGCCCACCAAGGCTGTATCTTCCCGTGGACCCACCACCGGTGCGATGTGATTTGGGTGGCAGCTCTGATTGCTACCCAGAAATTGAATAATTAAAGGGATGAAAATTTAAAATGACATAACATGACCGCACTAGAGTCTATAAAATAAGAGCATAATTAACATCTTGTTCCATATTTGGTTAGTCAAATTAATTTATCCATCCATCCATCCATTTTCTACCCTTTAATCCATTTCTGGGTCAGGGGGGTGGCAATCAGAGATGCCACCCAAGTCTCATAGCACCAGACTTAAATTAATTTAATATATTTAAAATCCTAAACCATGATATATGACTGGGGCTATAAACAGTTCCACCATATATAGTTACCCTTGAGCCATTCGGTTCATCATTAGGAGTGCCCTTGGCTTTAAAAAGGTTGGTGACGGTGTAAACTATAGTGAAAGTGCGGTGGTCTTACCGATCTGCCTCTCGAGGTCTGCTGCTTCGTCTGGCGTGGCCCTGGGCAGGACTCCTGGATCACTGAAGCTTGTTCGCAGCAGTGAGCCCAAAACAAAGAGAAACAGCACCCCCCCTATGACCGGGATGACTGGGGTCAACTGGAGAGCCAGGAACGGACAGCTGCAACAACATTTATGAAGATGTTACATGGAAGAAAAACAAAACTCATCTATTCTGAAACCAACATCCAAACTACAACAACACTCACTAGACCAGAAAGATCAGGACATTTTCCAAAATGCTTGACCCTTGATCAAAGTTAGTGTAAAATTAGGTTATTTTCATGTGTTAAAATGACGGAATACCGTCTCAACAGAAACTACTCTTGAAATTAAAATGTTGTGAGCAAATCAAACGACAAAGTGCGGTCTTTAGCTTATAATCTATTGGCCTAGATGAAAATTAAATGAAACACACACAAAAGTTCTACAATCATTTCACCTTTTCATTACAACCTGATGAGGATGAAAGCACAACTCTGCCAGGAGCAGTCCATCTCAGCGGGAAGTGAGCTGAGCCTAAATTTAGGATTTCCCACAAAAGCAGCAGAGACTAGTGCTGAGGGTGTCCGGGCTCAGAGTTATCTGTGGCCACAGGGAGCAGGCTGCGAGTCACTCATGTTTGACTTGATTTGAGGAATGAACAAGTTCAAAAAGGTCGTTGGTCCTTGAACCGCTCCTTTGATATTACATTTTGGCAGGACAGAATCCCTGGTAAATATTTAAACAATTAGCGGGGCAGTACACCAATATCTGGCCGTTTAAACCATAAACTGTATATGTGAGTAAGTAATCTTTATTTATATAGCGCCTTTTACAGACAAGAGTCACAACGAGCTTTACAATTGTTGAGGGAATTTGTCTCTCACTCCACACAGAGATGGGAGCGAGGTCACTAAACGGGAGGCGCATGCCAGATCTATTGTGCATGTTTTAGTGGTAGGGGAAACCGGAGCACTCGAAGGAAACCTACACAGACACAGGGAGAACATGCAAACTCCACTCAGAACAGTCCTGTTCCGCCCGGGATTTGAACCCATGACCTTCTTGCTGAGAAGCGAGAGGGCTATTCAGTCAGCCACCGTGCCGCCTATATATGAACAATGCTAAATCCCTAGCTAAACTAATCCCAATAAGGAAGTTCTCAAACAAGTAAATCAATTTTAAGTAACAATAAGTGACTTGTCAAACTAACTTGTCATGGGCATCCAGACAGTAGGAATCAACGTTGCCTTCAAGGAAAACGTCTATCATCAAATTGTGAAACATCTTAGTAACCAGCTCGACAACTAATGCATAAAACAAATGAGTAATGTATATAATGATGATAATTACATTTGGAAGCACAGCGAACGTTCTGTATAGTGTTATAAGACATTGGAATCTGAATGTAGGGAGTGGACACATCTGTATGGAGTGAGACATGTTTGAACATCAGCCGGGAACAAACAGCAACAAAGAGCTGTGCAAACACTGGTCTGTGGCCTCTAATGGTGAGTGAGTGAACGTACGTGTGCCTCCATCCAACCAATTTTCTAGTATTGGCATGAAATTCAAAACTAGCGTCGCATCAGTACAGATAAATTAATAAGGTAAACACTTAAAATTAAAGCGTGAACTTTCAAACAGGTGTAAGAGAAGCCCTGCTGAAGGCTACACCTCAGAAGGGCATTTGAGGAATTCTTTATATATAACGTACGAAAACACAGCAGAGAGTAGTGTCCATCCTTGGAGGTGTAAGCGGGACGTCGAAGTGTAATGAAAAAGCAGTCATGTGGAGAAAGGGACCGCTCAGGATAATCAGACGACAATAATAGATCCATCACAGGGGGAGGTGGCAGGAAACTCACAAATTACAATCAATACATGAAGACTGATAAACTTGCTTGATCTTTATGGCCCTTCGCTTTCTAAAGCCGTGTCTAATCCCAGGATAAGCTGCTCAAATGGGTGCTCTAATGCTCCCGTAAATGTCATAACATACGTTGGGTCTTTGGAGCTTAGTTGCTATAGAGACGGGCAATGCCTAAGAAATTGTAAATTGAGAAAGATCCTGGTTACCTTGGAAACAGACACGAGAGAAGAGAAATAAAAAATAAAATCAAAAGACACAAATGTTCCCTCGCTGGAAAAAAAAAAAACACTTGAGGAGAAGCGCTTTACTCAATGTGTTTAATGTGCCACAGCTGCAGATCAATTTGGGAATGATGAAATATCATTCAAATGGTGAATTTAAAAAAAAAGGTACAAGCGGATGTTTTTCATTTCGGCTTGTTCTCACAGGTGGATTATTAACAAAACACCTTTTATGTAAACAACAGTCTGCAGCATGTCACATTCCAGCACGATCCACAATTAACCAGTTGAAGATAAACAAGTTTAGAACAGAAGCTTGTATTGTCACAATACTACATTTGAAATTCCAGTTTTATACTAGAGAAAAATACCATACCCATTTCAATACCACAGCCGTTATCCATAAATGCTCTTTTTGGACAATAAACACATTTTTAAGAAGCGTCACGTTTAGTCTCGTTTTCCGTTTCATTTAGTTTGGATGCTTTCTCAAATAAAGATTTAGTTTTGATACAAGTTTTATTTTATTTTTATTTTTTAAGGGGTCATGATTTGCTCATCTCTAGCAAATGCATAATGTACAGCATTTTGATGACACCATATTATTCGGCCTTAAAAAAATTTCATCCCAAGTTGAAATTATATGGCTAATATACTAGTTCCTTTTAGCATTATAACCAACTTTTTAGAGAATATTCCTCCCTGGTATGGTTTTTTTTCCAAATGTACAAAATTACTGGTTGTCAACACAGAAATGAGTTTCTAAAGTATGTCATTTCCCTTGAGAAATTAACAAAAATAATACATGGACATAACTTTAACCTTATAATGACGACATACCATTACAGGACTAGGACAGAAGGGGCGGAGTCAGACCATTTGTTCCAGATGTTAAAAGTAAAGTAGATTTTGCACAATACATCTCCTTTAAAACAATTGTAAATGTTGTGCTCACCATTATTATAACTTGTGATCTGTATAACTTGAAACCTGTAACAGTCATCCTGAAAACGTGAGACAGGCTTCTTCTCTGACAATGTTCAAATCCAGGTTAAAAACAGTTCTGTTTAGCTGTGCAGACAACTGAGGGATTTTATCTTTGCATCTTGTTCTGTTCAGCACTTTGGAGTTCCCTTGTGTATGAACTGTGCAATACAAATAAACTTGCCTTACCTAGATGTTTTAATTCATATTTACAGTCTATGGTTTGAACACTGAACATGGTGCTGCACCCGCTTGCACGCATGACCTGAATGTCTAAGAGGGTTCCATCCCCATCACTTCCATCTCAACTCACCCACATCATCAGTGTTAACCTCACACCTCTAACACTGCACTAATCTCGGCCATAATCCAATTGAGATTACCAATATCACATTTCTGGATAAACCCCTTATGGCCGCTCCTGGCTTTTGGCCGTCTCTGCCCCCGAGAGCCTAATGCCCCGGCACAAGGCTCTGTAAAGGTCATTTACCACAGAGGCGAGCCTCGATAGCGAGCATAGATCTGTGCGCTGAGTGAAATATATACATTCTGGTAGCGAGTTTGTGCAAAGTGCGCTATACAAGTACTCACAGGACGAGGTCAGACTGGTGGTCACGTCTGTTTACAAGGGAGAAGTAACGTTAGTGATTAAGTGTTGAAATGTGACAAATCCAGCTGCCATCTTGTTAAAAGAGCTGTGAGGAAGGATCAAAGTAAACATGAATCCACTGGAAAATAACTGGTAATTCTGAAATATGTGTATGTGTTATTACTGTGGTATTTCCGCATGACTCTTCACTCAAGTAATTCTGAAATGTATGTATGCACTTCTCTGACTCCGGTACTTTTGAAATGTATTACTCGGACTTAGAACATGTCATTTAATTATGCAACAAATGGGTAGGCGTTGTAAAGTATTTTTTACTGTCATATTGAGCTCTATATAGCACATAAAAATTGTCTTTTTGTTGTTGTATCAAATGTATGTGTTGCTCTGTGCCCTGAATAAACTATCTGAACTGCCTGGAGGAGGCCCCGGGGAAGACCCAGGACACGCTGGAGAGACTATGTCTCTCAGCTGGCCTGGGAACGCCTTGGGGTCCCCCCCGGACGAGCTGGAGGAAGTGTGTGTGGATAGGGAAGTCTGGGCGTCTCTGCTTAGACTGTTGCCCCCGCGACCCGGCAACGGATAAAGCGGAAGAAAATGGATGGATGGATGGATGGAACTGTAATAATTATAAAACCATATTACTATGGTGTCTATGGAAACTACAGAGTCTGGCCATTTGTCTATACTCCAAACAGTTCACTAACTGGTTCAGTATTTTCATATATTGTAGGCATAAGAAAAAATAGCACATCAAAACCCGGTCTAAACCCACTCATTTTCAAAAGGAGAGATTTTCAGAAAGGACAAAAATCTGGTTATAATGCTAAAAGAAACAATAATAATTGAACTGCGGATCCAAGTATAAAGAAATACTTAAAGGAATTCAGCCGCATCAACGTCAAATTGAAAAGGAATGTCATAGTAAAATAGATTTAAGTATAATCTGCAAAACTATGTTTGATTAGTTAGGTATAGATCTGATTCTGAATTTTGTTTCAAGTATGAATATTGGAAGCATTCAACACATTTATTCAAGACATACGTTTTTTTTACATACAGAAACAAAAAGACAATAATCAGCCCCACCCACACCCTCCCAGCGACTGCCCAGTAATCTTCAAGAAAGTGTATGAAGGCTGCCAATTTTTATCAAATTCAGCGTGTTGTTCATGATATAAGGATGGAACAATCTTCCTGAAGATGTGAGACAGGCCTCCTCTCTGACAATGTTTAAAACCAGGTTAAAAACGGTGCTGTTTAGCTGTGCATACAACTGAGGGATTTTATATTTTTATCTTTCGTTTTAATGTTCTGTAATTATTTATGATTTTAATGCTATCTTGTTCAGCACTTTGAGTTGCCTTGTGTATGAATTGTGCTATACAAATAAACTTGCCTTGCCTTGCCTAAGCATTTTCTCTGAAGTGATGAAGGGAATCAGCAAGTTCTGT